ACTGAAAATTTTGCTAAAATATGGAAAAAGAAATGGGCTCAACCGGGATTTGAACCCGGGACCTCTCGCACCCAAAGCGAGAATCATACCCCTAGACCATTGAGCCTCATGGTGATTGTTAAAAATTGTTGTTCGAGCAATAATTTTGCAAGAAAGAAATTAAATATTGCTGTGAACGTACTCAGCATCACTTTTGAGATGTTAGTGTCAGTATAATATCAGAATTAAGAAATTTAACGATCTAGAAAAGGTTTGCGTTCAAAAAGAAAATGTATCATAGGAAACTGCAGCAAAGTAAAACTGCAGGAAACTGAAAATTTTGCTAAAATATGGAAAAAGAAATGGGCTCAACCGGGATTTGAACCCGGGACCTCTCGCACCCAAAGCGAGAATCAAACCCCTAGACCATTGAGCCTCATGGTGATTGTTAGAAATTATTGTTCGAGCAATAATTTTGTAAGAAAGAAATTAAATATTGCTGTGAACTTTCTGACGAGAACTTCTAACCATGTAATGTCAGTATATTAGATCTAACAAATTTAACAACCTAGAAAACGTTTGCGTTCAAACTGGAAATATATTATAGAGAATTACAATAAAGTAAAACTGCAGGAAACTGAAAATTTTGCTAAAATATGGAAAAAGAAATGGGCTCAACCGGGATTTGAACCCGGGACCTCTCGCACCCAAAGCGAGAATCATACCCCTAGACCATTGAGCCTCATGGTGATTGTTAAAAATTGTTGTTCGAGCAATAATTTTGCAAGAAAGAAATTAAATATTGCTGTGAACGTACTCAGCATCACTTTTGACATGTTAGTGTCAGTATAATATCAGAATTAAGAAATTTAACGATCTAGAAAAGGTTTGCGTTCAAAAAGAAAATATATCATAGGAAACTGCAGCAAAGTAAAACTGCAGGAAACTGAAAATTTTGCTAAAATATGGAAAAAGAAATGGGCTCAACCGGGATTTGAACCCGGGACCTCTCGCACCCAAAGCGAGAATCATACCCCTAGACCATTGAGCTTCATGGTGATTGTTAAAAATTGTTGTTCGAGCAATAGTTTTACCAGAAAAAGATTAGACATTAAACAAAAACCAGAACTAATACTAACACTATCAGTAGAACTAGCACTAACCCTAGAAACCTTCGGGTTAAGCTGTGCACCTTTTCAAAATATGTTTAACGTTTCGGATGCCATGTTGCAACGTTCTTCAGAAACAAGTCAAAGTGACGAAACCGGTTAAAGTTTGACAATAAATACACAACAAGATAATTACTAACTGATTACTGTCTAATTGTCAACTAAGTTATTTTTGTCAAATCCAGGTGGAGATGGCTCTATCGCCACTCTTGCCATTCTTTTGAAATAATGTCCACAAAGGAGGACACACTATAGAGTAATATTTCGAGCAATAATTTTGCAATAAATAATTTACTGTTTACATATGTATTGCTATAGACCTATTTGAGAATTTAGTTAGAATTGTCGTTCGGCAACAAAAAAAATGGATCATAGCGGAGTTTGACAAAGGAATGGGCTAGCGCGGGATTTGAACCTGATCGATTAGCCCTAAGGGTTAAAGATGTTAAATCAGTATTAGTATATGTTTCGCAAAATTTATTATACAACACTATAACTAAAACAATAGCTAAAGTGGTGTAAAAACGCGATGTAAAAATGTATGATCATTTCGAAGGACAATAAAATTAAATTTAATTTTTGAATAATAATTTAACTATTTTAATTTAATCACAAAAAGTTATTATTGCGATTATTAACTATTGAACTACCAAAACTCATTTGAGTCAACCACTGTTGTAGTGAGCAACCCTCAAGAGTGAGGTCTCAAAAAACGGTCGGCAAGCGGTAGCTTGTTAACGAATTTATCGATGTCGTTTGCTGATAATAATTCGACCGTTATTTGAAAAAAAAATGGTCATTAAAACTTTATTAATTGAATTCAAACTAGTAATAAACAAAAAATGAACAAACTGCAAAACCTATAATTCAAACAAATAACAACTCTCAAAAATTAAATTCTACGACAATTTTAGAACAAATTATCAGTTTCAATGTTTTATTACAATAATATGATACAATAATAGCAGAATTTTAATATACTGTATGAGTTTTTGTATTATCATTTATGATAAATAATCAAATATGAAATTTCAATCAAATCTCGGAAGAGGAAGTGGACTTTTACAAATTTGTTGTTGTTTATCGATAGTTTAAATTAAGTGGAGAATTGACTTGTGTAGTTGCCAACAAACTTCGTTAGGTGGCAATCGAGTGCGTTAATATTACATTACCGAGAAGCATTGGTACAAGGCAAACTAGACAATAATTACGTGAAGGGAGGAAATTTCCCTATAATCCCGTTTCCATGCTGTGCATTATCGTGGCAATATGCATTGTATCTGAATCGAATCTGCATTAACACGTCTGGTAATTATGGCGTCAGTATCGGAAACATTCGATCTTAAATGGAATAGCCACTACCGCTAAGTCTTCGACAACGAGTCAACCGACTAAATTATCCATACTGCACGTAGACCCTGGGGTAAATCCGATTATTCCAAATTCCAGAATTGAAATGGCTCTATACAAGAGAATTCGATAATTCTGGGGTGCGATAATATATTGCAAATTCCAAATAATCTAATGAAATTATTAATTTGTATTTTACCTAGTTTATTACGTCTACAGTTGATTTTTGTTTAAATCACGACAAAACTGGTGCAAACACCAACTTCTTTGGCGAATCCCCGAGGCGTCTGTCCGTATTGCGGCGTGGCTGTTTTAAAGACAGCTTTATACTTCTTAAGTTCGAGAAAAGTTCTCAAGACTGCGGCAGCAGTAACATCCATCCTGCGGTGCTGGCTTTTCCTGCTCAGCGAACACTTAAAATCTATTGCTTTGTGAAGTGTGAAACCATATCGGTTTGTATATCTTCTGTTACAACGATATGTCGTCACTCATTTTCGTTAGATACATTGTCCCCGACAACTTTACATTATAATGCAACCTTTTTTGAAAAAGTTTTTCAACAAGTTAGTAAATTCTTGAAGATATCTGAACATAAATTGCTCAATTTTGTATAAATCTACCATCGTTACAAGTTATATTGTTTCACGGAAATACCCATCCTTATATTATCTTGTATAGTACGTAACTTTTCGCTTCCGCCTTACCAAATTCTGCGCCTGTAACATTGTTACGAAGTTTATACTGGAAATTTTCCGCATAGATGCCAGCGTTAGCTTATACATTTTCAGTGAACGGGACGGCATGACTAATGAAGATTCCAGCAGCTTTCGAATTCGTTAGTCCCGTATTGTCTTTCGAAAATTTATTCTGGGAAAAAGAACAGCAGCAACGGAATATAAAATAATTTTATGAAAGAATCCATCAGTTTCTTTTTATTGATTATTTAAATTGAGTTCTTTACCAATTCAAATTAACAGTAAGTATTAAATGGTCTTATCATGATGATAAGATAGTAATCTATCCCCCATAAAATAAGTAATAACATATTAAAGTAAATATACCTACGTTATTAATGTAATTAAAAATGGTATAATTATAGATAATAACGTAGATAACGGTGTAAATGTGGGATATTTAGAATTTGGCTCTCACTGCCGTTTAAACTTTCACACAGAGGCTCAATGGTCTAGGGGTATGATTCTCGCTTTGGGTGCGAGAGGTCCCGGGTTCAAATCCCGGTTGAGCCCATTTTTTGACGAGTTAATAATAATTTAGATTGTTTTATCTTGACATATAAACAGAAAATGTATCACGATTGTTTTTAAAATTGTTTTTTTATACACAAAGCTACGCCAAACTACACACCCAAACAAGAACACATCACCATACTCTTAAAGTCTGAAGAACTTTTGGAGTTTGCAAACAAAAAGGAGATCTCAGTTATGATGATCAGCGAAACTCATTTGAAACCACTTCATTCGAAGCAATAGGAGCTGAAATCGATTTCGGCGGAGAAGCAGGCAGGAAAATGTGCATCGTTATGTATAGCCCACCAAATAAGGCCATAAGCTTGGCAAAATCGAATTTCGAACACCAGGGGAAGAAAATTGAAGAATCCTATTAAGAACAATACCCCACATCTGATCAAACTTATTCACAGCTATCTGACAAACAGGAAAATCTTGGTCAAAATCAACGCTACTGTCACACAACACCAAATGTAAGCAACTTTTCCAATGTTGCAACATTCGAGTAATCAACCCGGCAACTTTCATACATCAAATGGTGGTCATCCACAATGAACGGCTTCCCCATCGTCTCTTGTATATAGTATATTTATTTCCCTGTACTTATTTGGAAGTTGCTAACTTGGAGGGGCTAAACCAGGGTGCTGATGGATTGTCTAAAATGTTATTGGTAAAGTTTGGGTTCAACTGATGCTGATGCAGGAACGCAAAATTGTACTCGAGGGGAATTATCCACTAGTAGTAGGGCTTGTACACGTTGCACGTGATATGGATGGAGTTGGTTGTGCTCAATATTCCCCAAATTGTGGTTGTGACACCACATGTTGCTCTGCAAGTATTCTATATAGTACTTATGCTGCTCTTCGACGACATTCAATACCTCCTCCTCGAAATTGACGATGTGTACAGATCTTATTGCTCCTCTATGTTGCCATGTTGCACCACACATAAAAAGGATCTACGTGCCGGATGATATCTACCTGGAAATCTTTCTGCATACAGACGAGCCGCAAGCACAGAATTTAGCCGTAATTCCCCGTATTTCCATGTCCATAAGTTCTTCGTTAGAGAAATTGTGCGACATAATATTTTTGAACTTGAAATAAAAAGCAATAATAAAGTATTGCTAAAGTGTAAACAGGAATTTGATTTAATGGAAAGAAGATAATAAGAAAAGAAGTAAACAGCGGTTTTACTTTGATCTTTTGATTCTTAAATTATTATAAACAAAAAAAAAGCTATTTAAAGTTGTTACCTGATGTTTTCTAACCAGGTAGTCCAATTCTTCCCGAAGTGTTCCGGCTCGATCGTAAGATTTCCGTTCTCGTAATCGCGCAGAGCCCTTTTCGCCATATCGGTGCACCTAACGAACCATTGCGGTTTCGACAGAAATTCAACGACGTCCCTGGATCTGCCGCAGATGGGCACGATCATACGATGATCCTGAGTGCCCCGAAGTAAATTTAATTTATTCAGCTCGTCGAGAAGCGCCTTCCTAGCGTCGAACCTTCGCATACCTGCCAAGTTCCCGCAGGAATCGCTCAGTTTTCCCTCCTCGTCGATCACTTGAATAGAGGTGAGACCGTGTCTTTTCGCTACCTCAAAGTCGTTATGGTCGTGAGCTGGAGTAACTTTCACCGCTCCTGAAATGAAAGTTTTCCTTTTAGAAATGAAGCAAGTAATGTTTAATAAATTTAAGGATGTTGGTTTTTATTGATTGAAAACAAATTAAAACCGCTACAGTTTAATAATAACAATGATTATAGTTTTACGTTGATTAACAAACATAGGTTGGGAAGTGTAATAACAAATGGTAATTGCCGTGCACGTGCTATTGAATTTCCAGTGATACAAATCATCCAATTTACGTTTAACAGATGGCATACACCGCGCGCTGAGCGCTAACAATGAATTAAAACATCGCTCGAGCATTATTAACGAGATGTCTGCAGCTACACACATAGATTACGGATCTTATTGCTCGTTACCAACTCGCGAATTAAACGAATTACGCAGATAAGCTACCATCTTTCTAAAATTAGTAAAAATTATTAGATTGATTGCAATTAGCAAGGTGTTTATGATATAAATAATTTATAATGTATTAGAAATATTAATTTTTTTTCTATATTATGCATAGCACAGTTGTATAACATCTAGTAAATACATAATAATTAGTTACTTATTTTTAACACCAAATTAAACTAGATAATGTTTAGCAGCTTTTCCCAGTGATCCAGGCTGCTTTACCCATAATATAGATAAATATCGTCATATTTTGTCACGTTTCAACCTTAGTACTTAGTTCGTGAGCTTTCCATTTGAGTTTGGCATCCAGCGTCATACCAAGATATTTTTACGATGTCGGTGTAAGGGACTGCATTGCCATTTATGTTTATATGTTATTTTATATTGCCACATTTCGGATTTTTGTGGCAGTAAGCTTTGGTGTGGCTCCAACCTTTGACATCTTTTGCACTGGGGCATTTGTTTTGGCTTTCTGTACTCCTCGATTTTGACACGCATTCCTAATTTGTTTGTTATTTCATGGATTCTTTTTACATCTTATGACGGTGCAAAATCCAAGATATATACATTCCTATATATTATTAATATGTATATTCATATATTAATATGAATATATTAATTTATACTATTAGAACTTATACTTATAGAAGATATGATATAACACAGATAAATACACATTTTCTGAAAGTTAGTAAATTTTCAATGTACCGTCGATTCTGTAGAATTCAATTGCGTTCAGAGAACCGGAATATTATCCCTCATCTGGCTCGGGGCGTTATCCGTAGGGAGAGGTGGGAAGTTTAGGGGCTTCCATTACGAGTCTTATGGGGATTTCCCGGGGTCCAATTCTAGCGCGGACCGGTGGTGCTTTATGGCGAGTTGGCGGAGTTTTAGAAGATCGCGTCATATCGTGCCACGAAAGTGATTTATCGACAAGCGAAGCCGAGCACGGGACGACTGCGGCCGGAACTAATAACGGAGATATATCTGTCGCCGCGACGAAATAAATTCCACATATATCAAAGTAACAATCGCACCATTTATTTTAACATATGCACCTTTTTTCGCGAACGGGGCCCGCAATCGGGCCGCGCCCCGTGAATTATTGTCGCCGATAAATTGAAAATATTCACGCCGCATTGAATCCGTCGGCCAGCAATCGCGTTCCGAACTGTTTACGCGCGCCTAGGTATGAAAATGTGTTAATAGATTTCGGTTTTGTGAACATCACATCTATTATAGATTTAAAATAAACGGAAGTTATTAATAATAAAAGTATTACGCAATATGCCAGAATAAAAATCAATTGAGGTCAAATCAATTGAAGTGATGTTAAATTTGCTGGAAGAAAAATCGCCGTTAACTTATAAAAATTGCGATACGAATCCCTACCAATCTAATTTCAACGATTTTCAATAAAAAACGTTGCATATATGGAAAAATGGAGGATTAGTAAGATAAATGTGAATAGTGAAAATGAAATATATATATTATTACACGTATTAAACCTGTATTCTTCGAAATTGTAAAAGGGGCGGTAATGAAACTCTGATGGGTGCTGTTAAAGCTAATCTTCTCTCATTCTTAAACTACAGCAATTTCGTACGGGTGAAAATTCGAGTTCTCCTGAAGAATTTTCCGCGTCGGGCGTTCATACAACCTAAACATGACGAATAGCTGATCACTGGGGACTCAGTTAAAAGCAGTCTGTATAGAACCCTAGGGACGCTTCCTCTGCTGTTAACCTTACAATATTCTCAGCGTATATAATTCATAAGATGGAGTGAAAAGTGTTAGGAAATTTACACTTTTGGAATTCCACAGAACGTTTTCTTATCACCAATCAACTCTACCTGCCTTTAAATTTTTACTTGCAATGTTTAATAAAATATGATTATTCAAGTAGTACACCGTGGACAAATCTGCCTGTGAGATGAGTAGCGGGGATCAGGCATTTGTGAGAGTCTCACGAAATGTATTCCAATTGCAACTGGAATGAGGCAGGGAGATAGCCTCAGCCCAGCACTATTCAATTTTGTGATGAAATAATTGAAGAAAATACATAAAAGATAGTCTCCAAAGAATGCTGTTAAGTAAGTATAATATATCTACAGCCCTCAAATTCAAGTAGAGAACCTTATATTCTTTTAATAACTTATTTTCTTCTTAATTTGTTTTTGTCAAACATGTGATTTAGACAAAATCGTTTTAACGCCTCGTCAACGGCTTTTTGATAAAATAAAATGCACCTTGGGTTGAATTACTCATTTTGATAGCTACCACAATTTTCAAAACATACATTGTTGAAGACCTAACTGAAATTTGATCTATTAATATTAAGTAAACACTAAGTTAAAGAATATGTATGTTATAAACACTTAATTTGTGTAGTTGTCATTCAAATTGTTGGCCATTGGGTTACTTTATTCAACTGATTAAATATTTTTCCACACATTTTAATAGTACTAACCATTTACTAGTAACCATTTGGTTACCAGGTACCCATATTTTTAGTGATATTGCAACATTATTTGCTGCGTATATAACCATAAAATAAGCAGAGTGACCAATGCATCGATTTGTTAAAATAAAAGGATTGTGTTTTAATATGTACGTCTTAAATTGTTCTTTTCTACCCATCAATATTCTTGTATCTTGCATGTTTTAACCATGAAGAAGATAATAGCTGCATCCTGAACTTGTTTTTGAATCTCAGATCACAAAATTTCTTGTGTTGTATCTGAATGAAAGTCAGACAATATTACAAAGATCACGTTAAAAGGGAACGTTTATAAATAACCTACTTTCTAATGAAAAAAAATTGTGTGAATAAAAAACCATCGTACGATCCAATATGAGGCTCAATGGTCTAGGGGTATGATTCTCGCTTTGGGTGCGAGAGGTCCCGGGTTCAAATCCCGGTTGAGCCCATTTTTTTTCTTAATTTAACAACCAACTTTCTAATAAAATTGTCTAATAACCAATAATCACTTTTACTACAAAGCTCAATTATATGATGTGGAACAAATTTTTATAAAAACAAATATATTATGGAATAAAATTATGTTTGCATGGAATTATTTGTATATCGTTATAATCAACTTTCATTATAATGATAAAAGTGTTTATACAGTGACTCACGGATACTAAGTGATAGCACAACAACAATAAGTGTTAAATAAATCAACAAAAACGAAATTATTATAATTGGTCCTTTCAACTTTTCGATTTTTCATTAATCTCCGCCAAATCATTCATCACCCATCCATCGCATCGCTTAAAAACACATTATATTTACTTGCGTTTATAAAAAATACTCTGTTCCAATGGTAGATATCCTTTTCAATCATTTCTTTTGCAAACTTTAAGCGTACTTAACCATTTCTTTCGTTTATAAAGAGTTATTACATCTTCATCTTACAAATAATGTATATATCATAATGAGACATGTATGTCTGATTTAATTATATTATATTAATTAGAGTAACAGATGGAGGGCCCGATGATTAATGTGTGCATAATTTATCAGCCTAAGCGATTTTATTTTATTTATTTCCAAATTGTTTGTAAGCTTACCGAAAATTCTGCAATTTTCGCGTTACAAAACACAATAAAAAAAGCGGTGATAAATCAATTGTGAAAATTAAATTACAATCAATTTTGTTGTGTTATAAACATATTAATTGTCATTATTATTTATTATTCCGATAAAATTGATAATAAAGTTGTTAAATTTTTGTTAAAACAATGTTTTATTTACACCTGTGTTGCTAATTTACCAAATCTTATAAAATGTAGTAAAATATATGTAATATGACGCTTTATTTATACCGTAGTCATTTACCTCCTTTCGCCACATTAATATAAGAATAAGCACATAATATTATTATTGGATTATTAAAAATGAGAAACTAAGTAAATTTAAAGTGCATTGAATATCTTAATATACTTAACATCATCAGAGCTGATACTCCTAGTAGTGAGTAGGTTTTCTCTTGCATAACATAAAACATTTAACAGCTAATCACATCTTAGCCATCTACATTGTTATTCATTTTTGGTTACTGCTTTTAAAATTTTGGATTTGAGCGTTGAACATATATATTTATTTTTCTCCCTGAATTCTCGATAGTTGAATGAACACTGTAACATATCATTTTAGAGTGTTCAGATTTTATAAACATTTAATTGATAACCTTCAAGATATTTAATAGTGACAAACCTCTTAATAACAAAGCAGACAAAATTGTGTTTCTATTTCTTTCTGTAGTCAGTTTCAATCCACATGTAATTTATAACACTTCCACTACCAACAAAATTATAAGGTTTCATTCGTTCTGTTTATTGTACTATTGTCCAATTCCATGTTAAAGTAGGACTTTAAGAGCCTGTACTTCTTTTGTGTGTTTCCCGTTTTCTTAACATGCCCAAATAAAAGTCAGGGTAACACTACAATTTTTCAACTCCTGATTTATTATTAAACTGAACGCAATAATCGTATTAAAAATAATCTTCTTTTATTAAAAATGTGCTTGTAAAATATTTCAAGTAATCTTATTTATTTTATTGATGTACAATTGATGACCAAATTGGGAGATACTTCTGTTTTGAAGAAGTCCTGCAATAGTACAAGTGCAACTGTTTCGAAGTTTTCTCCTAACATATTCAAAGTACCTAGAAAAAGGTTTTGTTAAACTTAGTGCGTTCCATTTCTAGATGTGAGAGATGTAACTAGAGTGTCTTGTGTAAGTGATAGTTGTGCAACCAATTATCTTTTTGACATTTTTCTGGGGGCATATTTACTAATAAAGCTCCACCAAAATTTTTCATTGTTAAGAGATATGATATCTAAGAGAGCTATGAAGTAACTATTTCCTCTCTGCAGGCTAATGTTATCATAGCACTACATTATCAGCTTTTTCTTTGATAACATCCTTTTTTTAGATAAGTAATCCTTATATATAACTTTTTGCAAGAATCGAAAATAGAGTGATCTTCTGAATCATCAAAACGGTTGCATCACTTGTATATCCTCTTCTTCTTCTCTAAGCGGGTGTTATTCGTGGTTGCATTTTGGGATGAAGATGTTTGGGATAGATCCAATCTGTTGCACTGTTTCTGTGATGATCCATCAGCGAATAACCCGTTATTCTTCTCAGGATTTTGATCGCATTTGTACGGTACGCTTTTACGGAGTTCTGATGCTAATGTTATAATTTTGGTCTTGCTCATCGAGATTTGTATTTAATTCAACAGCTGCGGTATTAAGTCAGTACTGCAGTCCATCGCCAATATTAGTCAGGATGGCGGCATCTTCTGCATGGCATAAAATCCTTATTTTTTGTCTACTCATACTAATCATAATTCACTGTATATACTTTGTCTATTATTGTATCCATGGATAGATTGAATAACAAGGCTGTCGCCGTACTCCGATGTTTGTGTATTAGTTTTAATTAATGATGTGTTACAAGTGTTAAGTCTCCAGATGTTATTGTCTTCATGATGTTGGTATGTAGGTTCTTGCGTTATAATTTTTTTATCATATCTTTTGATTTTATTGCATTACCTGTTCTGGCTTTAAAATCACCTAGTATTATGATAGTCCACACTAGATGATGCTGGTGTGTCCAACTGTTGGTTGAATTATGTTTAACATGTTCTAGTAATTAAATATATAAGTAAAATGTCAAATGTATTAATATTTGAATTGAATATTCTGAAACCGTAAACTTGTTTTGAATACTACAAATTCACATAGATAGTACAAATAGACAGTAGTTATACCTATGTTTTACTAAAACTACATCAATAAAGTTAAAAGTGTAGTCCATCGAATAGTGCGGTAGCAAGTAAACGCAATTAAATGGTAAATAATAGCAATTTGTCCGTGTAATTTCCCGATGCGGTAGAGAGGGGTATTTAGCGCACCGAGGGAATCGACCGGAATGAAAAGCACCACCTATCTCGTTAATGGCGAAAAAGTCGGGAACCAATCGGGCATAAATAATAAATGTGGCGTCCGATTGTTCTCCACGTCTTGGGAAATCAATCGAATGGCCCCAACATTCAGAGACGGATTCTCTAGCGCCGTTTCGTTTCCACTTCAGGATACTTTCTTTCGTATTTCCCCCGTACCTTCCTTCTTAGTTTCCTTCCTCATCACGACACCAATTCAAACCAACCTCCTGCTTTTCCTGTTTCAGCACAGCATTTAAACTTTTTATTTCATCAAGTTAAGGTTTTTCATTAACATCAAAATTTTTTTATTTCGCTCGAACAGAATCGTGTCTAAAACATTCGGTCAGGTAAAAGTCGAAAAAGGTTGGCGAAACGAAGCGACGTTTGCGAATTGTCAATAGTACGTTGTCGTCGGGAGGCATTAAAGCTTGAGTTCGAAAAGCATGTATAGAGCAGACGTTACTGTTTGCTGTAAATTGTATGTGCGCTTCACCTGTCTGCCACCGTGAAACGAGGTTCTTTCGGAACACTAGGACCAAAGTTAAAGTGTAGCACAAAGATCGGTTAAATGTCGCTCATGCGAAATCTCCTTTCCAAAAGAAACCATTTAACACAATCCCACAATTCAACAAATTAAAAAAAAAAATAAAAACAAGTAAATTAAAATAAATATATTATGTTGATAACTTAATGCAAATAAATATGATAAAATCAGTGGGGTGCTTATCCCATGGAGACTATAAATATACATGGCCAATAATAAGTTTTACTGCGGGTAACCTCTAATTTAGACAAGCTCGAAATATTTGATTGTAAAAGTTGAATTTTCCATTATGTCGACGGAAGTTTTAATATTCCGCGGGGATTTCCATGGCGCAATATAAATTGGGGTGTATAATTTATACGGAACTCATTAGGGTATTGCTTTGAAAAAGTTAAACGACCTCCCCATGGAGCTTCATTTTACGTATTCCGTACGAAGCGGGCGCCAAATTGCCGTAGTTATCCGCATTGCCGTAATGAGAAATATCGAATTGATTTTTATTCAATCAAGGAGATCTTTTATGATCGACAAGATAACGTTAATACAAATTTTGATAAAAATGTATTGTTTATCGCAAAAATTTTCGATCGAGTTTAATTTTAAATGTAATATAAAAAAATCAACAAGGACGAACCAAAATGAAAGCCATTAATCGCAACATACTAGCACCCTATTAATAGGAGTTGGTAAGTAGGAAGCTGAAGGAACAAAACATTCTCTTTTTGACGAATCCAACAAGGGCAGTAAAAAATTCTTTCCACTTGCTGTTCGTGTTTTTGACTTTAACCAAGGCATTCGGGATTGTTTACTTGATTTTTATGAAGAAGGTGATGAAAACTCTGATTGAATTAAAAATAACATATTGAATGCACTGCAAAAACTACAACTTGACATTGCCAATGTAACTCCATTTGGAGCTGATAAAGCATCTCTCAATTACGGAAAACATTGTTCTGTTTACCAAAAACTTACAGAAATAAAACCAAAAATAATCAAAGTCAATTGTAACTGCCACACTCTCTTAAATTATTACGTTTTAATGTAGAGTCATTAACATTGAAGATTTTCAATACATTTAGTTGTAGCGAGAAAAACGTGACAAATCTCAAGAAGTGCTTTGACTTTGTTCAGGATGAGTATAAACAAGTATTAAGAGTTTGTTACTAAATTGGAATGCTGCAGAAGCTTATTTCTTGGAACAAGGGGCTAAAAATTTCGATCGTATCGTATAGAAATTTATAGGAGACCAGAAAGGCCAATTTTATCAAAGCATCCAACTTTCGGTAGCATTGAGCTCAATGCTACCTTTATATTGTTCACTACATTCTATTTATTTTCCATTCTACAATGAAAACACTGGTGCAATATGATTTAGTTATTACAGATGTTTGTGATGTTATGTCTGGTTTAAGAAACAAATTAAGCAAACGGAGAGAAGATTAATTTTTTGGTTTCAAAACAAATCAAGCCTTCGTAAATCTGACAAGTAACCTTAAATTAAAATTTCAAGATGAGCTTGACTGAGTATACTCGAGCAATAGCATACTTAGAAAAATTGTTTAATTTTGAAAACAACCGGTTTTTATTATTTAAGTCACTAAGTTTAAAGAGCAGTATTCTAGAACTGAATGAAATAAGCATTGAACTTCAAAATGCCGATTACGATAGTCTTTATGAAAAATTATCTTTCCTGCCTTCTTTCAATAGTGAAGATATTTATGTTGTGGAAAAATGGTGTACCTTTTTCAAGAAAGTGGAGGCTCCAATTTTAAGAAAAATAGTTCAGGTAGTTTTATCTATTCCTTGTAGCAATGCTTGCGAGGAAAAAATTTTTAGCATCATGAATCAGCTATGGAATGATGACAGAGACAGCTTATCAGTTGAAATGGTGAAAATAGAACTATGCAGTCGTTCAAATATTCAGCTTTCTTGTTCAGAATTCTATGAAGTGGCAAAGCAGAACTTATTAGAGCAGCAAAATCAAATACAAAATATCACATTAAATTTTAAACAAATTTAACCCGTTGATATAAATATGCGTTATGTTCACTTATTACACTTATTATGTTAGAAATAAAGTTTACTTTCTTGTTTTAAAGATTCATTAGTATTTCAGTCTGTCTTGCATTACCTAGAGTGCTTTTTACCCCGAAGCCCAGTTTTTTGTTGCTAAAAGATGGCCCCGTTATATCTGAAATTTGTTCTAACGAGGTTGGTTATATCGAGGTTATACTGTATTTTGATTACTAAAACATAATCAATGCGCTATGTTCTACCATAAACAATAAGGTTCAATCTACGATAAACATAATATAAAATAACCAAAGTTATTATCGTTTAAAATATTAATGATGCAATCTGTTTTAAACAGCTTCTACTCGAGCGGCAGCGTTGCTTCCATCGTCAATAACTTATCAAGTTCCGAAGTGAAATGCATAATTTAGTTGTTGACGTTATGATGCTTACTTAACGAACGTTCCTGTAGGGTCTACATTTCCCCCACTTATTATTATAGCTGTTACCATAACAAATCAATATGGTAATAATAAAACCCTTTTTGAATGAAATGAAGTTACAAATATTTACAAAAATGAAAATCGATAATTATCTTACCTGTTCCAAAATCTGAGTCAACAAAAGAATCCCCAATTATGGGAATTTTTTCGTTTCGAAGCGGATGCCAGACATATTGTCCAATAAGATGAGCGTAACGGGAATCGTTCGGATTAACGGCAACCGCCACGTCTCCTGGAATCGTCTCTGGTCTGGTAGTGGCGACAACAATTTCCCCATCCCCTACAACAAATTGACGTTATCAATAAAGTGGTGTGGTCTTAGAGGGTCGAGATCCTCGTCGTCCTGTAACAAGTCCGAGTTTACGTGCGGTCGTTTTGTGTTTACAGCTGGAAAATGCGCAAAGTATAAAGCACAATTTTTCCGGCAGCGGCGGGGTCCCGTGAAAAGACATAAAGTCTCTCTTCTTTCGACCTCATTAAGTTTCATCAACGGCGGATATACAATCTACGGACGAGAGGAAACTCCGGGCTGGGTTGGGTTATAACGGGGGAGATTTGTTGCTCCGGTACACAAGTGTAATTTTCTTTATGCGCGCCTTTTTCTTTTACCCGTACCGCGGTTCTCGGAAATGTATACTTTTATAAATGTAAATTTATAACGGTATTTATTCGATTTTGACGATTTTTATTTGGTTTATTTATTTCTTGTTTCTTTTATTGCTTATACTCATTCTCTGAGTGCATCGTGTTTCGATCTCATTAAAAACTAACAATTGGTGCCTCGGACTAAAAGTCCAGCAATTTGTATTAACTGCATCGCCAGGAAACAGCTCCCCGACATTTCCTAGTAGTCTTGCTTAATGCCGAGATTTTAATTAAGTTGGGATTTCGGGAAAATTCGTCCGAATGAGGTTGAAAAGAAAGGAATCACGTCCGTTCTATTTCAGAAAATACAACGAACGTGCAGAAATTCCAACAGAAAAAATTGGACACTTACGAATGAATGTCATAAATCATACACATAAGCTTAAATCCTCTATTTATAACAGAAATTGTCTTATACTGCAGATCAGAAGAATTTATCTCTTTTATTAATTATTTATGAGTTCATTCGTTTAAAACATTGAAAGCTATGAAAGCCAACGAAGAGAGAAGCATCTTAAAACTAATTACATTTGAGAAAATAAGCTAAATTAAAACTGATAATCTAAAAATGTTGATTACTTTCTTTCACCACTCTGTAATAATATGGAATGTTTAAGATTGTAGTTTCTTAGATGCGATTTGAAAAGAATATAAGGTACAATTTAAACAAATAAAACGATCCCAGAAATATTTATATTTCAAAAATAATTCAAACATCAGCCAAGCTTTAGTGGAAACAAATATTGGTGCAGACGGATATGGAAACGTTGCCAGAGGATGTCTGGCGCCCGGCGAGAGGAAACGACGAAGCCATAGGCATAAAAACAGGGAACACGAGGGTACTTTCGTTCCCCCGAGAACGATTATGGCAGGGCATTGTTCCTTTTTTTATAAGGGACGTACAGCTTTATGTGTAGATACGTAAACAAAGTGATTATTTAAATTGTATTAGATAAATCGGAGGGAAGCGACATGTTTTATTGCGAACATTCGAACCTAAAGCTTTTGTTAGCACCGAATTTATGAAAGACTGGCAATTCTCATCTACTTGTATCCATATAAAATCAGATTTCACGGTTGGACAAACACAAAAAGGAACGATGAACGTGAAAGAATACAATCCTATAAATCTTTTATGTTTGATTATTAACTCATTCCTTCCGTCAATATAAATTTCTTACAGGGTGTCACAAAAGTGCGGGAATCTAACTTTGCAATGTTGTAAAATTTTTTGTTTTTATGTATGAAGGTGAAATTTTGCTCACATTGTTCCTAAAAACAGTTCCAAAAATCCAAAGGATTGCTTTTTGTGTTTTTTTGGTAATGCCGCTTAGGTCTTGGTTTGAACTTGATTTTTGTGATTCAACTCTTAGAACTACCTTGATGAAGTTCTTAGAAAAAAAGTGCTTCCTTGGAGCCAATAAACAGCACAATTAGCACTCATCTTCAACAAGTGATATAATGGATGACTTAGCATCACGTCAACGTGCTGATATCAGTAACTTGTTATGTCATGATAATTTATGAATAATTTGAAAATTAAATTTCAGCATTTAGCAAATGTGCCAGCAATTTTTTTTACTATTTATTTCACGAATGTGGATTGAAATAACATTTCTGTTAATTGTATATCTATATATTATTAAATTCAATATTAAATTTAAATTGTATATTTAACCACTGCCAGTGTGCTTTAACCTATATGTTTTATTAATTTCTACCGATTTTGGTCTAAATGAACGAAACATTTATATTTCACAACGATTTTCAACTAAACCTATGGGCGTTGTTCCAGACAGCTCGTAAAATGCGCTGTTACTTTTATAACATATATACGTAATAATTAATTAATTTACAAATAAGTAAATCTACTGATTTATTCGTATTTCTTTTTATAGAGAAGATTGCGGTTTTGATCGAGAATAATAAATGCCGAGATCAACCTTAACACAAATCCATAAATGTAATACGTGAGTGCTCAATGGCGATTTCGGAGAAGATTGCCTGTCATTGCGAATAAAACCATAAAGAGGTAAAACCACGGAGAAGATATAAAGTAAAAGCAAATTTGATTTGAATAACACATAACGTTCATGTCTTAAAATGCAAACTAATTGTTGATGTGTCCCTTACTTCTCTTTTTGGCCTGATATTTCAGATCTTGACAAATAGGTGTAACCAGTAAATTCTCATGTCTTTTGACATCTGCTATTACAGAGAAATATATTATTGATGAATATGTACCTTTCCGAAAACTAAAGAAACATTTCATCAACAGCAACATTTTCGACTAGATGGTAATTTTGTTACTATTTATAACAATATTGAAGAGTTTTAAAACTGGCACCAAATTGTGAGTTGTACGTCGATCTTCTTTGATGTTTCTGTCGTGGAATCTCTTTCTTGATTCATGAATGTCTTAATCCCACCTAGAAATGTATCGAAGAATACCTTATCCGATTAGATTTGACCGCAAAATGTAACTTTATCTTGAACTGTATTGTCCTGAAGAATAAGAATGTCACAACTCAACATCATCTTTATTCCTACAGCATATCAGTACAATAACATCATTCTTCAAACAATGTGGCAGCTTTTCTAGATATTCTATAAGATATCAATTTCATCAAGCCTTATCTCAACAAATCAGCTTTACCCCATCTTCAATCCAAGAATGTCTCCACTCAACTTCATAAGCGATCCAGTAATGGCGGCTCAGACTTTGATGCTGGCCTAGCTGGCTACAATTGGGTCTGTCTACGCTTTGGTGGCTGTCTCTTCCTGATGGTTTTGGAAGAAATTGTCACTTGAGCGTGTTGTATTTTTGGGTGGCGACAGAACAGTTATGACAGCAGGTGCCATCTTCGACTTGCTTCCAGTCGTGGCCTGGTCCCTACCAGATGTGGCATGTGTAAAGTTGGTAGGGGAGTTTTTGCGGGATACTGTTCTTTAGACTTTAGATGATACTTGACCGACGATATTAGAGCTGGCTGCAGTTGCTCTTGTTTCTGAATTTCGCGAACTGGATTGAGAAGGTTGCGGGGATTTCTTTATATGAAAGATTTTAAAGATGCTTTCCTTGACCTTCTTCCTGACTCGCTTTAAGAAACCGGTATATTCCGGTTTGTCACGACGGTGTCGGATCTGATGCTCGGTCAGTCCGTTCGCAATCTTGGCCTCCTTGATGGAAATGACGCCACCCTTGCTTTTGACATCGCTCATAGCGATCTCTTCCATCAGCTTTGGTTCGGGACGCCAATTTGCTCATGCTGCCTAACAGCAGGGTTATCCAAGGTTGTAGTCGGTCTTTCAGAGCAAGGCACTCTCCACAGAAATCTCGAGTGTCTGAAGGACACCCTTCAGCAGGCATGCTCTTCGAGTACCACTCTGCCACGTCTGCAGTGAAGCGCCTGTATGAAGGTGAAGGGTAGATAGTCCAAATTTTGATTGTACATTGTTGTTTGTTAATGTTTGCATTGCCAAATTTTATGTCTTTATGTGCTTCCGTTCTGTTTTAATGTAACAGAAATACCGTGCTACCCGACTTTTGAAACACTTGTATAATTCTTTAGAAAATATTAATATTAATTGAACATTTGAATGAAAATAAACGAGAAGAGATGAAGAAATCATGGTTGGTGTTGTAACAGAAAACGCATCAAAGATTGTCAGTCCCAAACTAATGATTTTAATCGAGGCGTTCGTTCAATTTAGAAAACCCGTTCCACAAATCTGCATACGCCGAAACGTTCGCTGGTCGCAGACGATAATTGAATCCGAGCGAGTGGAATTTGTCGATGGGGTAAGAGCGGACGAGAGCTGGAACGCGCCGAATTGATTACTATTCGCACCAAACGGAGCAATTATTTTTATCAAATTGTCCAAATGGAAGAGCCGTGTTCGTTAAAGACCGCATCCATGCAGTTTAAATTTAAACTGATTTTTTTTTATTTTTAAGCGCATCAAACTCCTCGCAAGCTAATCTTTGTAAATGAACAATAAAAATGAAATAAATGCAATTAAATTATGGTTTTGTTAACCGTCGGGGTTAAAAAGGAAGTAAATCCAAGCAAACGACACTAAAGTTTCGGCAAGTGATGCAAATTTGATGCCGGAGTAAACAATTTCATTACGACGCGCGGCGTCTGAACCGCGACGCGGTCCGCGGCTCACGAAGATGCAAATTTCCGGGCCACTCATTTGCATGTCGAACAAATTACTATTTAACATAATTCAATTCCGGCGCCCCCCGAAACCAAATCGAATTAATAACCCAATATCGAGTTGTACATGCCGCCGATTCTGTGACGCGAGTGGGGGCGTCGCGACGGACACCGAAATGTACGGTAATAACGCCGCGTAATTGTACACAACGGCGCGAATATGGAGATTTAATCCGGTTAAACGTTCTGTTAAAATAGCGGGACGTGCATATTGTCCGGTTGTTTTGCACCCGATCCAACTAACCTAATGAATTGAACGGTGTTGGCGCTATACGTTTTGCGACCATGCACCATATGTTTTCAACGAAATTAATACGCGCAACAACCTTATTTTTATTTGCCTTTCATCATCACTCTACATATACAATAGTCCCTCCATTTACGTGGTGGTTACATACCGCGAAAATCCCACGTAAATTGAAGCATTGAATTATATGGAATTATGGGGATTCGGTTCTAAGGATTAAGAGGATGTTGAGTTTTAAAATGCATTTATCCCAAATAAGTTGTTAAATTTAGTTCTCAGCTGCATTGTCTGAAAATATAGAAAATTCATAAATTTGTAACTGATTTCAAGTTTAAACTTTCTTTTTGAAGTGTAAGTTGCAAAAGTTTGTATGGTGCTAAAGCATTACGGATCTCACGTTGTGCCTTTCGTCAACACATCTGTTAGTCTTTCTCCCATATCTAAACATTTATTAACTGTTTTGACAGTTAACATAGCTGTGAAAGTTTTTCGTTATCTTCGTAACTATCACTGCATTCATGATTATCATCAGTTATTGAATCTGCCAGAACTTCTTCTTTCAGTTCAGAATCATATGATTCAAGTAGCTCTTCAATATCTGACAGTTGAATGATGGTCACTAAAACCATCTCCCGGTAACGACCGCCCTAAAGCTACTGTAGTCTGGATGTCATTCTGCAAATTTTCATTCTCTGATGTGACAACATTTGACTAGATATTTCTCCAGCCACCATTCAATGTGGATTTTTTCAATTCATTTTTACAATCAGATATGTAGTAATTTTTCCAGCATTGTGGTAAAGTTAGGTCGGTATCACTCTCCAAATTATCTAGCAACTTCTTGAAACTACTTTTGATATAATATGCTATGAATGTAGCTATAATACTTTGGTCTAAAGGCTGAAGACGAGAAGTTCTAAGAGTTAATGATTTTATAAACCAATAATGGTTTTACGAGTATACAGAAGAGTAAGACGGCCTCTAGCCACCTTAAAACAAGGAGCGATGTTTTCATTTTTAGATATAAATCTTCTTGAGGGCATTTTATTTTCAAAAAAGGCCGGTTTCATCTACATTGAAGTATCCTCTTTAGGGATTCTCGATACAGCTTGGCTGGCTCATGATCGGCTGAAGCAAACTTCCATAAATTTCAAATTGTGAAGGCTGTAACGATTTTTAAATTCGTCGAACCAACCCTTATTTGCGACAAATGATTTTAGCTCAATATTTGATGAAGGGAGCTTTCTAGCTTTATCTCTAATGAACCCCACAACTTAGAGTGGCACTTTTTTGAGTTGTATCCTCAATCCATAAAATCAACGCGTTTTCAACTTTTTTTATAAGCCCTTTTCTAGAATATCTGATATACTTTGAAGATTCACGAAGGGAAATTTCAAGACTCTTATTTTCACGAATAGTTCTTATATAACATTCGTAAACGTTATTTTTTTCTAGCTACTTCTGCTAGTCATTCTTTTATCTAGATCATCTAATATCGCACATTTTTGTAAAAGTGATAACACTTTTCTAGATCGTTTAGAATTTGCCATATTGATATTTCTGGTGAGCAAACTACTGTACTACATACAAAAAATTATCTCAAAACTTACGATGTCTAGTTAACTATTTAGTATTGGTATGTTTGTTAATCTACCAGTTTCTTTATTTTTCGAGTTAAATAATTTTTAAAGCGGAAGTTTTTGCTTATCACAACAAATAGCTACGGATTTTAGTCCTTTTTCGTATAAATTCCGGTATCTACCCGGGTTTTTTCTTAAAGCGTTAGATTACCTTGTAAAGATCCGGTGGGTTCGACATCGCATAATTTGTAGGCAAAATGCGATAGCTGACCAAAAACGACGGGAGTGTCGTATCCGGGCACCGGTAGCTCGGTCCTTCCGGTCACCTCGAGATGTTCGACCTCGACGTCCGAAATCGCCGACCGCAGGACGCAGGACCAATTCACGAGATAATCCGACCGATATATCAAACCGGAATCGTACAATTTGATGAACGCCTCGGTCACGGCGACGGATTGCTTGCGGTCCAATGTGAACATTTGTCTGGGCCAATCTAGCTTTACACCCATCCGTTTTAACTGTCCACCTTAAAAAAACAAAAAAAAAATCAGTAAAAAAAAAATTACAGCAAAATGTAGGAAGGCAACATAAAATCAAGATTCAAAAAGGCGGATATGAAACTCGTATACTTCAAATTGCGAATTGCAATTTCTATTAACTGAGAGATGACAAAGCGGAACATGAACGAGGTTAAAAACAAAGAGAAAATGAAAAGAAATTGATACAGCGGCGACGTAAAGCGTTTCAACTCCCGGGGGAGAGAAAGAGGCGTTATTGCTCGTAGTTTAAACCTATTGCGAGAATCTGGGCATTTCATTTCGCGCTCCAGGTCCATCCCCGTGCATTTCCTAGATAAACCAGAAGAAGCGTCTCACATCTGTCGCGCGGAATGTCTTCATTAAGGGCGTCTTTAATCTTGTCAGGATCGCGGACGAAACGTGCTTATGCCAGCAAGCGAAGGAATGAAATGGACTATGAAGCGACTACTAAAGCCGACGACGGCGTGAACCTCCATTTTTACGTGGAACTTTAAGGCTGTCACTTCACTGCTGGGAATATGCAAAATCCTCTAGAAATATGAACTCAAGAAGAGGGAGTTTTCTTTGTAAGTTTTCCAATTATTGTGGACGGATACAAGACGTCTGCAGCCTCTTTGAAATCCCAAACTGGATCATGTTTTATTCAAAGGTTTAATTAAAATACTTTAAAGGCCACGATGCAATATGCAAATTGTTGGTGGTATAATTTACGACCTGCTTTAGTGATAAACACAAGATCCGAAAATAATGTGTCATCACGTTTTGAAACAATGATGTATAATATTTTCTAATTAACTTATTTGTACCTGGAATAAATTAAAATAATCAACAAATTTTAGAAATCGTGAAATGCTTGAAAGATAACTTGTAAAGCTTAATAAATTGACTAACATACCACAGCTTTCATAATAGCAATAAATCTTGTAAGTAATAGTCGTTTAAAAGTCATTAAACTGCAGTTTAGCATTTATATCTCACGGGCAATTAGCGACACCTCATTTTTAATAGCGAAAATTTCCGACGACAAAATTACTTAAATTCCATAAACCAATGCCGTCGCCAGTCTTAATAACGTAAAATCGATCAGGACCGCATTAAATCCCACGGAGCGTTTGCACCCCGGTTATCTTTTCCATCCTCGTCCTGGTTAATGCACTTTTATTACCTGTAATTTACGTTTTTAATTCGGCCCCCCAGATGAAAGTTTAATTTGAAAAGTTCCTTCCTTTCGTGTTCTCGTTACCTATACATTCCGGTGGTAATTGCGTTTTCTAGAAAATTATAGCATTGGACGAATTGTATCGTTCGTTGTGACCGGTATATGCCAATTTCGACTGTCGATGTGGTTTCATGTTAATTTACGTCGAATCATGTTTACTTAAGGAACATGTAAATTCTGTGTTTCTACAAAGTTTATGTAATGAAACTTTTCGGTACTTTTTTTGACGAGGGAAGTACATTAAACGCTTGAAAAATAACCATGTTAGCTTTAAGTTAATATTTATAAACTAATTTTTGTGAGGATGTTCTTCTAGTACGGTTATTTAAGAGTTAATTTCTTTTTTCTAATTAAAATTTACCGTCTTGTTTATATGTATAGTTAAACAAATTTTCTTTTTGAAAATATCTTTTTGAAATGCATGTTCTATAACACACCTATTTTGAGAAGATCAATCACCATCGTTTTATAAAATTGCAAGTAAGTGTAATAAAGTTAATTCTGTTAATATAACTACAATCAACACGAAGATATTGGAAACCAATAATTTTAAAATAAAAATTTTATTATTACGCAGATTGCTTTTTCAGTTCTGTACGAGTAGATTCGGATTATTTAGAATTGTGCNTACAATCTATACGAAGATATTGGAAAGCAATAATTTTAAAACGAAAATGTTATTATTTCACAGATTGCTTTTTTAGCTCTGTACGAGTAGATTCGGATTATTTATAATTGTGCTATGTGGAGAGTAGACTGCGTAAACAATAGACCAAGTCATTTAATAGTTAGTAGCAATGCGGGAATACCCGGTGATATTCAACTACAGTTTGACGGTCCGATTTTAGGGCAAACCACTCTCGTTATAGTCCAAATATTAACAAATCAGGTGTACTGGTGGCTTCAATTTGGAGTGGGTACAAATAAAACATAAATCAATTTTTTTATTACATTTGATAGAGTAGAAAAACAAATACCCATATTTTTTGTTTTCCCATATTATAACCAATTACTCAGCAAAAATATATAAAGAGTTATATGGATTTAGTGGGAGTAAACCCTTCATTCGGAATATTAAACATTTTACATTTTTGGACAGTATAGTAACTACTGTAATTTGTTTCAAATTTTTCCCAATCTATAAACTGTAAAACTTCTGAAGTTCATGGACACTAGTATTACGCATATCTATGAGATGTGGATGTTAGCCGTAGTAAACAAAGCTAACGTTGCAAAACATTCCTAAACGTTATTTACGATTTAAATTTTTGTTGAACATACATTGTTCTACGTCATTAGAACAATGTATCTACCTCCCTCACGTGCTAACCGTCAATACATATAATTTTGTAAGAAGATCTTGAATAGTGTCAAATATAGTTCTTTGAATATCTTCTTTTTATGACATTCTGTATAAGTTAGTATAATAAATTTAGTACCCAGAGATATGTGCTGTTAGAATAAGAGACAAAATATACCACGGAAATTGAAGACACCAAGTTGGCAGTAATGGCAGTGATATTTCACACTGAATGCGCTTTACTACACTGCTTTAATCGCTCGGGTGGAATGCATAGCTTTCCCCGAACTAGAGGTCTTGCTTATGGGAAGTACAATATGCCCTTAGTACGCAGATACCTATGTTATACAACCCGGAGGTTCCTTTACATAATTATTGGTGTAGTTTGTTGCATCACATTACATAAATTCCAGCTATTTTAAATAAAATTTCAGCGTTTTCGTATTATTAATGCTCGCTTTAAATCGCAAAAAACTCATAAATTGAAGTCGAATATTAAATCGTCGTAACCCACACGTGTGACCCCATGTTACTCGTTATGTTAAATTTATATTTAAAACAAAACTGATACTACATTTGTGTTAAAATTGAAAATACGGCTTGCTATGTACACACAAATACATTAAATACACTAAAAAAACAATATTTATTATATAATATTATGCATTTCTATAGGATAATTTGTAAATAAATATAAAAGTCTGTCAAATAAAACTTTTGCATCGCATTTCCTTTCAAGTTTCCTTTACATTCATATTTTATTTTATCAGTTGTAAAGCTGCGTTTCGGAACAATGTAAAGTAACGAAAGCAAAGCGAGTACACAGGAACCTAAATCAAATAAATAATGTATTCTTATTTCTTATTTGAGATGAAAATCCGGCTTCTGAAAACATAAGAATACTAAATTTTGCTTGTTAAATAATATGAAATTATAAAACTAGATTCGAGGATCAAAGAATACCATCATCAATTGTAAACGAAAACGACTTTTTGAACGAGTGCGTAATGCCGGTATAAAGCTATACGAGGCCAGAACCCGTAAAGCTCAAACATTTAACGCGAACGAATAAACGAGGCCGTCAAATTTATTTACAAACGGGCCATAAGATACATCGACGTGCAACCCAAACTGGCGAACGCAATCCTGTCCATTAATTTCCGTCGATGTTTTACCTATTTTTTCCCTCGCCGTGACGCGTGGATTTATGCTGATCGATGTTCATTTGGATGGCGATCCGATTTTCGGAGAAAAAGTGGAGTTATATTTCATTATCAGGTTACCGCGAGTTCGTTCTCTGAAAGTTAATTGCTTCCGCGCTCAATCCAATATTATTATCGTTCATCATCATTTAATTAATTACTTTCCGACAAAACAAATCAATATTATCATTAATCTCTCACCAATAACTTCCTCTTTTTCTTCCTTCCACTTCCACACTTCTTTTTCGAAAGCTTCCCTTCCAAAATCGTGTCTAGTCAAACCCTTCTCTTTATAAAGCTTTTTCTCGACGACGACTTGTGTAGCAATTCCGGCATGATCCATCCCTGGAACCCATACTGTGTCAAACCCACGCATACGGTGCCTGTAAGCGACGATAATAACTTTAAAGACAAAGCCTATTATTAACAGATTTGATGTGGTTATCGATCTAATGTACACGGTATTAGAAGCGTTTCGGAAGTTTCGTTAATATTTAATGTGCCATGGGTGCCGTTAAGAGACCCTAAGTATCATCTAAAATTCGGTTAGCTGAGCTTATTTCATCCCTTCTCGGAATATTAGTGACATTGACGACTATTTCGGGGTGGGAAAGGTCTATAATTGATGATGAGAGTGGGATGTAATGTGTTTAATAAAAAGCACTTATTTTAATGTTATAGGAGAAAATTTATATTGACTAATCACTATGTATACTAGAAATCGAGCTTAAACTTATTTCATCAACCAATTATGCAAAAGTATCAAGGGTACTAACAATAAGATATAAACGGGATTTTGTTTTGTTGCAACTATAAGGCAAATATTGTAATTTCAATATTATGATTTGAAAGTAGAAACCTTAAACGGTTAAAGTTTAAATTTAGATCATGTATAGGTATAGTTAGAGATCTTACTCAAGAGATGGCACATTTTATATCTTATAGAATGATATTAGATGAATGTTATGAGATTTTCTCAGGATTATTGTAGCTTTAGATCCTTCTTGAGTTCTAAGGGATATGATGTCTGGGTATAGCTAGATACTTATTCTAGACGCCTGCACCCGACCTTGTTACGACTGTTGCAGGCAAAACCGCTCTGATCCCATCAAGAACCACACAAAAGAAGATCTCATCCACTTTTTTTAAAATTATTTAAAGTTTGTGCTTTTGAAGTATGATCATTGCCTTAATTATACTTTGCAGTGATAAAACTTCTCTCAATTATATTCAAAATCGAAGTCGGTTATATTTTCTCCGCATTATTGAGAGTGCATGTTGTGTTGTCTATACTGTGACTTATAACAACAAATTTTTAATTTTAATATTTACGGGCAATGACTTGTAAGGTATATTGGATATAGATGTGCTCTATCAACTATTTTGAAGTAGATGACGATTACTTTTGCAGGAATCGATTTTTTATCGTTCAGTATGTTATAATACTGATTTCATTTAGTCAAAGTATGTAGGATATCAGAACAATAGTTTAATTCTGGAGTTTTCTGTTTACTTGTAAACTTTTTGCATTTGCATAATAACATACTTCCAACTTATATATAAATAAACTATATTACTGAAAGAAGAAGCCACCACTCTTCATATTTTTTGTCTGAAGCGAATGTTAGTAGGTAAATATTTTCTTGAGATGTTAATAGATTCACAAGGAATTGCAAACTAATTATCAAAAAATACTTTAATCTTCCTTAAATAGGAAATACCAAAATCTAGACAATAGCCAGATTCATTGATAATGATGTATACCTTTATATTTAATCATTAATTCATGAATTGCAAAATGCTCTTAAGCATTTTATACATTGTCTTTCAGCATTAACTTTATACAGTTTACCAAACAGTGCTTGTTTACAGCCATCAATCGAATTTTAGTGACGAATTTTGATAAAGAAACTAAAAGTCATGGTATATCATAGTGTCATCAAAGTTATGAGACTTATTATGACCTATGAGAATGATTGAAGGAAGTTTGCACAGCTTTTTGACGAAGAATATTCCTTCTTAATGAGTAGTTATCTTATAGCACTACATATTTTTAAAGTTTTAATGGATAAATAGATTTGGTTTAATACATGTTTTATATTAAGCAATGTTTAACATTATAGTTACAGCACAAATCAAATTCAAAGTTAGACTTGTACTTTATAACAATCTCCTCATGTCCAATAAAGAGAAAGTATTGTAATTGTGCTAAAATTTGTCCTGAAGATTTTAATGGATTTAAGACCCCTGAACTCTCTTCAACTATTGTATGTAACATAACTCAAAAATGCAATTAAATTTGATTTACAATCATTTTTGAATCTCACCATCTAACCAAAACATCTTCAACAGTAACAGCCAAAGCATGTCCTAAATGTAAAATTCCTGTGATGTTAGGCGGTGGAAGGATTAAACTATATTTTCTTCCATTATTGGTGGCGTAAAAATATTCCGAATTATCAGCATTTTCTTCTATTAACTTTGGATTATAAGCAGCGGCAAAATCTATGCAAAATTCAAAGTAAGTGAGGACATCTATCGAAATAAACACAAATTCAAACTAACCTTTTTTAGCGGTAGTTGATTTTAGCCGATACGCCGCAGGTTTTAGTTTAAATTTATGCGAACCATTTCTGTATTTTCTTAAGACCACAAACATCACTTTATGTTGCTAATTAGTAAAGGAAGTAAAAAAATTTTGCGGTACTATTTTTTGAGGTTATAATGCCGAATTACTACTATTGGTTGATCCAAAGATGTCGCTGGAGCCCTTTAAACGGCGCGCCATCCTACAAAAATAAATCTGTTACAAATTTATTTTTATTTATTAATAAATATTTAAAAACATCCATTTAATTACAAAAACGAAACGAATTGGGTAAAATGTTATGTATTATTAATTGAAATTTAACTGTAATTTCAATAAATAAAATTAATTTTTAGATATGCTATTGGCACTCTTGAAATTTGACAACTGTCAGTGTGAATTTCTTACATAAAACAGGATTAAATGAGGTTAGTTTTCCACATTACAAATAATGTCGGTTTTATTTAGAAGGTTTCCGAATTACGGCAAATTCACAACGCAATTACTATTCAAAGATGTAGAAAAACAATTAATTTTTAAACACGTTAGTACAAACACAGCCGGTAATGTAAAATCACCGAGAGGTTTTATAAAACTATCTTTGGTGGGGCTGAGTGTGGGTGCTTTAGTCGGTACGGGTTTTTCTATTCACAAAAATAATAAAACAACGACTCATATAATAAACGAAGAAACTACTATACCTCCATTGAAAGAAATACCAAAAATCCCTCCAACTAGAAAGGTAAAGTTGGTTATCACTAATAACCAAATTGAACTTTGTAATCATTATCAAAGTTATCTAATTGTAAGTAACAATGTTGATTTTAGATGGTTTATCCTGGTAGTCCACAAGGTTTAAAATTAACACTATATCAATATCAAACTTGTCCATTTTGTTGTAAAGTAAGAGCTTATTTAGATTATTATGGAATATCTTATGATGTAGTTGAAGTAGATGCAGTATTAAGACAGTCTATTAAATGGTCACCTTATAAGAAGGTTCCTATTTTAGTTGCTGAAATTGAAGAGGGATATCAAGTATATTGACAAATTTAGAATATTTGAGGAGAAACTCCTCAACAATATTGAATTTATCTAAAACATACTTTTTTAGCCTATGAATGATAGTTCAATGATAATTTCAGCATTACAATCTTACCTCCAAGATAAAGGTGGTTCAATAACTGAAATTGTTAAATGTTATCCTTCAATTTCTTATGAAGAAGATGGGTCAAAAAAAGTTGATATCATGAATAAATACTTTATTATGTACAATGGAATTAATCCTAATCGAACAAAAGAAGAAATGGAGTAATTTATTAATCTTTTTGTTATCCAAATTATAAAAAAAAAAATAATTTTTAGAGAAGAACGTAAATGGAGAAAATGGGTTGATGGTGTTTTAGTGCACACACTTTCCCCAAATGTTTATAGAACACCAGAAGAAGCTTTCCAAGCTTTCAATTGGTTTTCAGATACTGGTGAATGGGATAAACATTTTCCAGCTTGGGAACGTTACATGATGGTTTATGTTGGGGCAGTTGCTATGTGGCTTATTTCAAAAAGATTAAAAGCAAAGTAAATTTGAAAAGTATTTTCTTTGTTATTATGTTAAAAATTTGATTTAAAGGTACAACTTAAAAGAAGATGTTAGATTATCACTTTATGATGAATGCAATAAATTCGCTAAAGCTATCCATCTAAAAGGAACTTCTTTTATGGGTGGAAACGAACCAAATTTAGCAGATTTATCTGTTTATGGTGTACTGAGCAGTATTGAAGGTTGCGACGCGTTTAGAGATCTTTTGGAGTACAGTAAGATTAAAAATTGGTATCTTTTGATGAAAGATACTGTTCAAAATCATAGAGGCATGAGTTTTGGTTAATTTTTGTCTATGTGATGGTTGTGATATGTTATTTGACTTTATTTCTCTATTTAGTTTAATAAATGTTATTGTTAGCTTATTAAAAAAAAGTAAATATATTAAAATATTTTAGTTATCTTTTTATTTTTAAGAAACCATAATCTGATATTCTTAACTTCTTGAAGGTGGGTATTTAATTGGTTAAAGTGCTTCCATGAATTGAATACCATGTTTATTATTAATCTTATTGCTGCCTTTTTTACCTTTGATACCTTAAAATAATAACATACTTCCAACTTATATATAAATAAACTATATTACTGAAAGAAGAAGCCACCACTCTTCATATTTTTTGTCTGAAGCGAATGTTAGTAAATATTTTCTTGAGATGTTAATAGATTCACAAGGAATTGCAAACTAATTATCAAAAAATACTTTATAATATTAATTTAAAATATTTAATAAAGGTTGATATGACTTTGGACCCTAAATCAACTATGTTACCACATTTATATCCTTAAATAGGAAATACCAAAATCTAGACAATAGCCAGATTTATTGATAATAATGCATACCTTTATATTTAATCATTGATTCATGAATTGCAAAATGCTCTTAAGCATTTTATACATTGTCTTTCAGCATTAACTTTATACAGTTTACCAAACAGTGCTTGTTTACAGCCATCAATCGAATTTTAGTGACGAATTTTGATAAAGGAACTAAAACTCATGGTATCATCATGGCAAAGTTATAAGACTTATTATGACCTATGAGAATGATTGAAGAAAGTTTGCACAGCTTTTTGACGAAGAATATTCCTTCTTAATGAGTAGTTATCTTATAGCACTACATATTTTTAAAGTTTTAATGGATAAATAGATTTGGTTTAATACATGTTTTATNTTTGGTTAATTTTTGTCTATGTGATGGTTGTGATATGTTATTTGACTTTATTTCTCTATTTAGTTTAATAAATGTTATTGTTAGCTTATTAAAAAAAAGTAAATATATTAAGATGTTTTAGTTATCTTTTTGTTTTTAAGAAACCATAATCTTATATTTTTAACTTCTTGAAGGTGGTTATTTAATTGGTTAAAGTGCTGCCAATAATTGAATACCATATGTATTATTAGACTTATTGCTGCCTTTTTTACCTTTGATACCTTAAAAATCTCTTACATCTCTCAAGTTCATTAAATCACTGTTTCCCAAAGTGTGGGTTGCGATCCGATATTAGCCGGGCCATAAAACTGTTAGGAATAAATTTTACTACCAACCTTCTAATAAAAAAAATTGGTAATAAAAAACATCCGGGGAATCCCCGCTATTCAAATTATTCACAATCCACTAAAAAGAACTAGCTACCTAGCAGTTTTAACGTTTCGTTCTCTAATTCGAGTTTAGTTAGGTACTAAACTCGAGTTGTTTAAATTCATTTTGCACTTATCGCGTGATACCTTTGTGCTTCCTAGAATAAGACCTTATTGTCTCTAACCTCGACAACTGTGTTATATTATAATAATGGACAAGTGATTAAAGCGACCAACAAATAGTGTACAAAGCGATGAAAAAAATAGACGACGTTATTTCGGATAAAAAAGACGATACTGAGCCTGACGAGGCTTCCTCTACGAATTCAAATGAACCAAACCGTCGAAACATTGTGAAAAAATATGATCTCGGGTACCTAAAATTCACCTGGAATCAAGATGCAATGGATCCTCAATGCGTTATTTGCTGCGAAATATTGGCGAATGAAAGCATGCGTCTGAATAAGTTATCATGTCATATGGAAACGAAGCACTCCCATTTAAAAAATAAGCCGGTGGATTTTGTTCAAAAGAAATTATTGAATATGAAGCCTACAAAGAATCTTCTTTCACATTTTGTAAATATTAATGAAAATGCTACTTATGCCTCTTATCTTATTAGCCTGAGAATCGCCAGAGTATGTAAACCTCATACCATTGGCGAAAATTTAGTATTGCCATCGATTAAAGATGCTGTTGGAGTGATGTTTGGAGAAAATGAAGTAAAGAAAATCCAACGTATTCACTGTCCAACAATACCGTTGCACGAAGAATTGACGAGATGTCGCAATGGGCAGAGGATGAGTTAATTCGTAAAGTAGTTGGTAGTAAGTATTTTACGCTACAACTGGATGAGTCTATCGATGTGCAAGGCCTATCTCAGTTACTTGTTTTCATGCATTATATATGGCAAAATGACGCACATGAAGACATCTTGTTCTGCAAACCAATTAGTCGTGGAACGGCTGATGAAATTTTCAAAGAAATGGATTCTTATATAAAGACAAAAGGCTTGGATTGGAAGAAATGTGTTGGCGTGTGCACTGATGGAGCTCGAGCTATGTGTGGCAAAAATAGCAGTGTGGTCACAAGGATTCTTAAAAGAAATCCCAATACTTCGTGGACTCATTGCAGTCAGCATAGAGAAGCACTGGTTGTAAAATCATTGTCTGATGATTTAAAAACAGTATAAAATACCTCCGTGAAAATTGTGAACTATATCAAAAAGAGATGGGTAGTCTTCATAAATCTCTTCTTTTGCATACAGAGGTACGTTGTGTATCCAGAGGGAAGGTTTTAACAAGATTAGTGGAATTACGTAATGAAGTCACAGTTTACTTGGTAGGAAAAAATCAAAATCTTAAATTTATTCTCAAGCATACAACATACTTGGCGGATATTTTTTAAAGTTAAACGAACTTAATTTGTATCTGCAAGGATTCCGAAATTTTTGCAGTTCACGATAAAATTCGAGCGTCCATGAAAAAGCTTGTCTTGTGGAAGAGATGCATCGAGGTAAGCAAATATGATTGTTTTGAAACGTTTCAAACATTTATCATAGAGAGCGAAATACAGCCTGATATCAATGTAGTGTCTGCCATTTCACTCATTTAATGGAGTTGAAAAATAACTTTGACGTCTATTTTGGGGAGGAGAAGAATTTCGATACAATGAGCTGGATTTGTAATCCGTTTCAAGACAACTTGCCAACTGGATTGTCACTAAAAACAAGTGAAGAACTTATTGACTTATCAGAAAACACGTCGCTAAATACCACCTTTAATCGTAAGCAATTAACGAAATTTTGGCTATCACTTGCTAATACTCATCCTTGCTTATTTGATGATGCCATGAAAGGCCTCCTTCCTTTCACTACCTCTTATTTATGTGAAGTAGGATTTTTAGCCATAGTTCACATTAAAACTAAGTGCTGAAATAAATTGACAAATTCATTGCGTTTAAAAGTAACTAAAATCGAAATCGACGCTAAAGCGGTAATGGCAATAAATAAAAATTTCATTAATCTGGCTGTCTTTTTTTTATTGAACAGACCTTATCAACATTATTGAGCAGACATCGAGAAGATGCTGTAGTAGCAATAAACAACGCTGCTTCTTTATTTCATATTAGGCAAGGGTACGTTCGTCAGTTTTTACAGTAAGCCCACCTATAATCCACCTTTATTTCATATAAATGTGGTTATTGTGTTAGGTGATTAAATTTTTTTTACGATGGGTCGCGGTCCACACAACTTTGGGAAACACTGCATTATATCGTTATTTGTGAATTAGAGTCAATACAAAACTATGGAGTAAATAAGAAAGATTAACCAGAAACGACGCATACCCCGTTCGTTCGTTTATGTTAAGTAGAAAAAATATTTTACATATATACAGTAGAACCAAAAGTGGAACCTCGATAATGGGGCGATATTGGTTTATTCGATAGTTCAGCAAAATTGAAGACTTCTTCTAAAAATAATGAAAATTTGAAATACTTTGGAGACGTCACCGTCGTTTCGCACGCGGTTGGTTGAACTAAAAATCAATAAAAGGTGCATGAGCGAGTTGCCATGAGAATCTTATGCGGTAGAAGAAGACATCCGAGCAATGCACGTTTGTGTCCAAAGCTTTTATAGAGGGGATTTTGAATTTTTAATAGTAATTATTGCAGAAATGATATGTACCCAAACATTGTATCACATTCATTTTTTATATATATTTATCTATAATATTTCTTTAATATTTATCAAACTGTAAATTATATTATAAAAATGTTAATAACTAAACAGGATAACAATTTCCTGCGCATGCACATCTCTTTTGCGTGTATGTTAAAGAAAATCCTCTATTTGCAACATCTCCCATCTCATCTGCATTTGTAACCACTGTTAATACAAAAGGTTTTGCACACGCTAAAACAAATTTTTTAAATAGACTTTTTACCATATATTAATTCAAAATTACTTACAAGTAAGGGTTGGGAATGCGTTTCCACAAAATCTATCTGCAGCAACTTCTTGTGGATTTGGAATAACAACAAAATCCGTTGTGCAATCAGTTCCAACGACACTTCCCGTTGGTAAAGTGTTCCCTAAAGCCATAGTATCTCCAGTTAACGTAAAAGAATAAGGATCACCTCCGGATTGACTCCATGTAATACAACAATATCCCGGTTTAGGATCAATACAAATGCCGTAATTTAAATTTGCTAATTCTCTTGTACCAAGGACATCGCCCACTAAAGCACCATTTGCTGTTGTACCATAATTAAAACTATTTACGGTCCCACTAATATCAGTGTAGTACATTAAACAACCAGGTGGTGCTAAAAAAATATAAGAAATTTTGAATCATCCTGTACAATACTAATAAAATACCTAATGTTCCACAATCACAAGCAAGTTGAGTAACTTTAATATTCCAACTTCTAGCAAGATCAACATCTGCACTGGTATCAATTACAATACGAATATCTTGATCGTCGTTGAAATTGACATAAACGTGTTGACCACTATTTTCGCCACAAATTATCGGAATGTTTGATGTTCCTCCTGTTATTGTTAAAGCATCGTAAATGCAACGACCAGTTCCATCGGGTTGTGCTAAAGTTAAACTTAGAAAATCTATTCTGACCTAAAACAAAATTAAAAGAATAATAAAGTTGTTGCTTTCCATTTTATATTTATGTTTTTATACTTGACAAATATCTGGACTACATCTTTGAATTGTGTAGGTACAACACCCGGCTCCAGAATAAGCTGCCGGATATCCTTCGTTCACAAAGTATGTGTTATTACTCGAAGAAATACTTCCGCATCCAAGAAGGACTAAAAATTAATTTAATTTTTTTCATTATTTATGATTTTTTGTGATTTTAATAGACTTGCCTACGCAACAAACACCGATTCCGCTCGCACAAGAACCGGATATAATCCCACCATTAACTTCTGCACATTGTCTTTTTGTGTAACAAGTCCCATATAAGCCATCAGCACTGTCGCATACGTTATTTGCGAATCGTACAACCCCGATTCCAAAGTTCCAAAATGGTAGAACTAATAAAACATAATCAGGATTATTTAAAAAAAGTAAATTAATTCACTTACATTTAGCTGTTCGATTATTTGGTGTCTTTCCAAATAATTCTATTTTTTGGCTACTATTGCACACTTTTATGCATAATATTAAAATATACGTAAAAGTTTTCTTAAAATTACGATTATACATTTTTCAGGCTTTTACAGAAATACATTAAGTTTACTACTAAAAATTTAAATGCCGTTAATGCGAGTGATCTATTTTTCTATTTTTAAATAACGGTAATAATTTAATTGATGTTAAGAAAATAATTGAGAATGCTAATTGTTAATAATTATTGTGAAATTTTCCACTTCTTATAAATTCTTGGTAATTAGGTAACTTACTTTTGTTTGTTAATTTTTTATAACAGGACATTTTATTTATTTTTTTTTTTTTAATTGAGAGTTTTAAATAAATTTATTTAGTATTAATTTTAAAAAAATTTTATATTTTATTGACTTGGAATATTGTTATAAATTTGATCAAGTTTTACTAAGGAGAGTTAATTAATACATAAACTACAAAATACTAATATAACAGACAAATGTGAAGAAGCAAGCTGCTGGTAAGAAATTAATACGTGGGCGTAATAAGATGCTTACGAAGCTCTAGCAAAATTTAATATTAACCTAATGCCACAAACCATACTAAATCGTGGTTCTGTGAAGAAGTACAAGAACTGGCAGATACAAAAAGGAAGACCAAAGGAATAAAAGCTCGACGTACTGTATATGTAGAGATCAGTCAAGGCTATTAAATGACATCACTGGGGCAAATTTACCAGTAACTTTGACTACGACCTACACGGAGCACAAAAGGAAATATTGAAAATGCTCAGAAGTAGGAAAGGATCCGTATATAAACAGAAGTCATCCCGCCAGAAACATGGAAATGCTATTTTCAACAATTATATAGTACTGAAGAAACGACTAAATTAGAAGAATATGAAACCACAGAGAAAAACAAACCGTGGCGAATGGTTGAAAAAAATACACTGAGGAAATTAAAGAATAGAAAAGCAGCGGGACTAGATAATATACCTAACGACTTTTTAAAATATAGAGGAAAAGATCTCAACGCAAAATTTATTGATTTTATTCAACCACATCTTAAACCCATCAGAAATACCAGAAAATTGGCACAAAAACATTGTAATACCTCTTTTCAAAAACGACAAAAAACCTCTCCAGACCACTATAAAAGAATAATCCTTCTAAGCATAGCAATAAAATTATTTACAAGCGTTCTAATAATAAGGATTTAACAACGGATTCTTTGTTTTTGAACACGACGATACAGCAATTATGGCAGAAACGGAAGATAATCTTCATAGATAGCTCTTTAAATTCTATTAAGGAAGCTAACAACTAAACATGACGATATCCATCGATAAAACGAAAGTCATGGTCATTCAACGAAAAAGTCAGTGAGTTGAAATATCTTGAACTGGATATATCCACCAAACTAGATCAATAAAGGCGACATCTATCAGGATGCTTGAGAAAGATCGTTTGGTCATATCAATACATTCGACTGGATAGCAAGATAAGAATTTATAAAACTTGTATAAGACGCGTCATGACATGTGGAATACGAAGATACGATTAAAACTAAGAGTTGCTGATATGAAAACGTTGCGAACTATCCTGGCTAAGACTAGAAAAGACCGAATAAGAAATATAGACGCGTGATGTGGTATACTAGATGTGGTAAGATGGGGGAGACAAAAAAGCAGAGGACATTATCATCCATGTGAAAACGATGAGTGCAAGCAGATTAGCATTAAAGCATTAGAGGAAAAACAAGCAGGAATTTAAACATCTACCCAAAAGATGGAAGGACAGTTGGAAGTCCATTATCACAATGACGGAATTTTATTGTATTAGATATTTGTAAATCCTGGGATATGTCTGAAAGATTATGTTGATTCGTAGGACTACAAAGACTGGTTTCATTGTATTGGATGTTAGTAAAAACTGTGGTATGTGGAAAAGAAATTACAGCTTCAGTAGTTCCGTTTCTGGGACTATTTTGAATTTCGCTTTCGACCGGGTGGCAAGATCGGATTTTTTTCACAGTAGCTGCCATTGTATTGAAAATCATATCAATTCCAGTTTTTTAAAGTTCTAAATGATGCGTAAGCTCTTCCATATACTTTTAGAAATGTTCCTTATGTTTCTGTCTCTCTGGCAAATATTTCTTTAGACGAAAACTTTCTTTCCTTGTTTTGGCAAGGAATCAAAATAATGTAAGATTTTTGACGATCTGTGAATGGTATAGAAGTTCCTGTTATTGGAGATTATCAGTGGCGAATTTTTATCTATATCGTCAATGACTGGTTGGGCAGTTTAAACGTTCGTAAAACTTTCTGCTTTAATATCAGTCTGAAGTTTCATCAGTTTCATAACGATTCCCTCAATTAATATTGCTTTGCAAAAAATCTTATTATGGATTCTTCACCTAAACTTTAAACCTAAGGGAACCGATTTATTATATGCTTTTATGGTATTTTGATAACATCGAACATTCTTCGACATTAAAATGATGCTGTTCTTTTACAACTTTTATATGATATTTGATTTANGACAAATGTGAAGAAGCAAGCTGCTGGTAACAAATTAATACGTGGGCGTAATAAGATGCTTACGAAGCTCTAGCAAAATTTAATATTAACCTAATGCCACAAACCATACTAAATCGTGGTTCTGTGAAGAAGTACAAGAACTGGCAGATACAAAAAAGAAGACCAAAGGAACAAAAGCCCGACGCACTGTATATGTAGATATCAATCAAGACTATTAAATGACATCAACTTTGACTACGACCTACACGGAGCACAAAAGGAAATATTGAAAATGCTCAGAAGTAGGAAAGGATCCGTATATAAACAGAAGTCATCCCGCCAGAAACATAGAAATGCTGTTTTCAACAATCAATACTGAAGAAACGACTAAATAACCCACAGAGAAAAAAATAAACCGTGGTAAATTGTTGGAAAAAAAACTGAGGAAATTAAAGAATAGAAAAGCAGCGGGACTAGATAATATACCTAAAGACTTTAAAATACGGAGGAAAAGATCTCAACGCAAAATTTATTGATTTTATGTAACCACATCTTAAACCCATCAGAAATACCAGAAAATTGGCACAAAAACATTGTAATACCTCTTTTCAAAAACGACAAAAAACCTCTCCAGACCACTATAAAAGAATAATCCTTCTAAGCATAGCAATAAAATTATTTACAAGCGTTCTAATAATAAGGATTTAACAACGGATTCTTTGTTTTTGAACACGACGATACAGCAATTATGGCAGAAACGGAAGATAATCTTCATAGATAGCTCTTTAAATTCTATTAAGGAAGCTAACAACTAAACATGACGATATCCATCGATAAAACGAAAGTCATGGTCATTCAACGAAAAAGTCAGTGAGTTGAAATATCTTGAACTGGATATATCCACCAAACTAGATCAATAAAGGCGACATCTATCAGGATGCTTGAGAAAGATCGTTTGGTCATATCAATACATTCGACTGGATAGCAAGATAAGAATTTATAAAACTTGTATAAGACGCGTCATGACATGTGGAATACGAAGATACGATTAAAACTAAGAGTTGCTGATATGAAAACGTTGCGAACTATCCTGGCTAAGACTAGAAAAGACCGAATAAGAAATATAGACGCGTGATGTGGTATACTAGATGTGGTAAGATGGGGGAGACAAAAAAGCAGAGGACATTATCATCCATGTGAAAACGATGAGTGCAAGCAGATTAGCATTAAAGCATTAGAGGAAAAACAAGCAGGAATTTAAACATCTACCCAAAAGATGGAAGGACAGTTGGAAGTCCATTATCACAATGACGGAATTTTATTGTATTAGATATTTGTAAATCCTGGGATATGTCTGAAAGATTATGTTGATTCGTAGGACTACAAAGACTGGTTTCATTGTATTGGATGTTAGTAAAAACTGTGGTATGTGGAAAAGAAATTACAGCTTCAGTAGTTCCGTTTCTGGGACTATTTTGAATTTCGCTTTCGACCGGGTGGCAAGATCTGATCGGATTTTTTTCACAGTAGCTGTCATTGTATTGAAAATCATATCAATTCCAGTTTTTTAAAGTTCTAAATGATGCGTAAGCTCTTCCATATACTTTTAGAAATGTTCCTTATGTTTCTGTCTCTCTGGCAAATATTTCTTTAGACGAAAACTTTCTTTCCTTGTTTTGGCAAGGAATCAAAATAATGTAAGATTTTTGACGATCTGTGAATGGTATAGAAGTTCCTGTTATTGGAGATTATCAGTGGCGAATTTTTATCTATATCGTCAATGACTGGTTGGGCAGTTTAAACGTTCGTAAAACTTTCTGCTTTAATATCGGTCTGAAGTTTCATCAGTTTCATAACGATTCCCTCAATTAATATTGCTTTGCAAAAAATCTTATTATGGATTCTTCACCTAAACTTTAAACCTAAGGGAACCGATTTATTATATGCTTTTATGGTATTTTGATAACATCGAACATTCTTCGACATTAAAATGATGCTGTTCTTTTACAACTTTTATATGATATTTGATTTATTTTTATTATTGCTTTCGACCTCTTAGAACTATTAATCCAAATAGATTCACCAATCACTTGAAGAATGTCTGGCAAATAACAAGAAGAGCGAGATGTTTATTTATATGCATAATATAGAATGTCTATAGTTTTTCAGCTTTGTTTAATGTTACACAAATGAAATAAAAGATTTTTGCTGAAAACACTTGTTTTAGTGGTGCATAAAAATTAAACTCTCTTTATCAAAACAAGAATCAGAATTCATTTTGTATTAATTTTATTTTCATATTAAAAAAATAAAACTAATTTTACCGACAAATCGAATTTCTACAAGCAAGTTGTGTGTATGATAATAAAAATCCACTATTAGCTACGTCGTTAGCTTCATTTCCATCAGTAACCACATAAAGTACAAACGGCCTCGAATAACCTAAAAAAATAAAACTACTTACACAGAAAAAAGAATGAACAAGATTACTTACTGACTAATGTTGGTAATTGAGTACCACAAAATCTATCAGTATTCGCTGGAGTTCCAGCAATATAAGGATTCGCAACTACAATAAAATCTGTTGTACAATCATCCCCAGAAAGAGACGTTGGTGCCATCGTGGCGTCCCCAGAAATAGTAAAAGTATTAGGACTAGCGGTGCCTTGACTCCATTGAATACCACAATATCCGGCAGCCGGAGCTACGCAAATTCCATAATTGGTATTAGCTAATTGTCTTGTACCCTGACCAGCTATAGTTGTTCCATAATTTAAAGATTGTACCACACCAGATATACCAGTATAATGTTGTAAACATCCATTTGGAGCTAAAAAAAGTTATGATTATTCTAAAATTTGCTATATTTCTTTGATGTGAATATACCTCTTGTAGGACAATCACAACCAATTTGAGTAACTTTAAATCTCCAAGATCTACCAAAAGTAGAATCTGAATTTGTGTTAATAACGAGTTTAATATCATCGTCTCCGTTAAAATTCACATAAAGATGTTGCCCACTATTTTCTCCACAAATTTCCGGTACTTCGTAAGCACCTCCAATTACATTGAAGGCATCATTTGCGCAAACACCTTGAGCGTTTGGTTGCATTAACGAGAAACTTAGAAAATCTATTCTTATCTAAATTATTTAAAAATATATATTTTTTTAGTATCTTATTTAAAAAAATCTTACTTGGCAAATATCAGAATCGCATCTGGGTACTGTATAAATACACTTATTAGCTCCTGTTGTTTGTTTAAACGACGGTGAACTTACGAAATATGTGTTATTATAAGACGATGTAGATCCGCAAGAACGTTGTACTTAAAAAAAGGAAACGTTAATTTAATAATTAATAAGTATATTTGTATAAAGAGAATTATGTTTTATACGTACTAACACAACAAACTCCAATATTGCTAGCACAACCACCGGAAGCAATCCCATCGATATCACTACATTGTCTTTTTGTGTAACAAGTTCCTGATAACCCATCGGCAGCGCTACACTCGTCATTTTTAAAGCGAACGACACCAATTCCCCAATTCCAAAATGGTATGACTACAAAAAACCATAATATTAAATGTACCGCAAAAATGTTAAAATTAGTTTTACATTTTCCATGCCTATGAGAAACTTCATTTTTGAATTTAATTGTATGATTTTTTGTTGCAACTACTACAAGACAAAAAAATAACATAAAATTTCTAGCGAACATTTTTTCGTGGTCTTACAAACTGGTGTAAGAATCGGTTCTCGTTTAACAATAAAGGCCATTTTTCGGCTGGTGCTAATTGGTGTTAAATAAGAAATGGGGTAATGGTAACGAGGCTTCTGTACGTGTTTGCGTTTGTTGTCACAGCGGTATATTTCATTATAGCCTTAAAGATATTTGGACCATCAAAAACGATTTTACTAAACGAAATTGTATTTTAAAAAATCTAAGATATGTTGTTCAATTTTTTAATCCATATATAATTTATGTATTTTGAACATCAAAGTGAGTGATAGTTGTTTTCGACATTTACCAATACTGATAATTAGAAATAGTTTTTGGTACAAAGTTCAACTCATGTCTTCTATTACACCCTAGCATCTAACTAATCTATATAATTTCTGGAGCTTTCAATTTTATCAAACTGGTATTATATTTATCATTACATATAAAATCTTTTAATATAAAATTATTTATTATTATTCTATCTTTCTTAGCTTTCTTTCTTTCATATCGCTGGTATTAACTATTCTTCAGCTGGAGCATCCTCTGCAGGTGCATCTTCTGCAGGTGCATCTTCTGGAGGTGCATCCTCTGGGGGTGCATCACCATCTGGTGGAGGGGCATCATCGCCACCTCCGTCTGCTGGTGGAGCTGCAACTTCGCCTTCAACTATTGTCGCAATCGCTTCTATTTCAACATTTGCTTCTAATGGAAGTTTTGCTACTTGAAAACAAGATCTCGCTGGGAAGTCTTTTGTGAAAACTGAGGGTTATGACAAATTGTGAAAGTAAACAACATTTTTGTTATTTTGAATATTTTACATTGTTTATATACATCGTTAACTGCTGCGAAATCATCCATGCAACCGAGAAAAACAGTCGTTTTTAAAACGTTATTATAACTGGATCCGCTGGCTTCCAAAATTGTGCCCATGTGCTTTAAAGCTTGTTTCGCTTCTGCTGCCGCTCCACCTTCCACCAATTCGTTAGGATCAAGTTTAAGACCTAAACATCCCGATATGTAGATGGTTTTATCTATCTTAACGGCTTGACTAAAATAAAAAACGAAGCTTTGTAAAGTGCTAACATTTAATAGAAATAAAATTATTAACCTGTATGGACCGACTGGTAATGGTGCTGCTTCTGTCTGAATACATATTTTTGCTGTTGGTGATTCATCTGGAACAATAGATGAAACTGAGCCAGGTTTAGCACATCCGCATTTTCTCTTTTCTGCCATCTTAAATGTTTATGATTTAAATTTTAAAAAAGTGTGACCCAAATCTAAAAAAAAGTATATAAAATAAATTAGTTAACAATCGTTAAAAAACTATGTCTAGGTCAATATCATTCACCTATTAGCAAAATGTCCGGTACTGTTATATTCACCACAAGGTTATTAATTAGATTACGAAAACGATGCTTCAGCACCCGTTCTTTTTAGGTTAACAACATATTACAAACTAAACTTTGGAAGCCATTTATGAGAATTTCTTACTGAAAATTTTGTATGTATGCCAAAAGTCAAAAATTAAACACTTTCAAATATTTGATAATGACAGATCTGTGGATGCTAGATAAATTGTGGAATAATACATTTAAAAAAATGACGGATTATAAAAATGCATATCGATATACATTATCACAAATAGTCCACCAATATTACATGATTGGTACTAAACGAAATAAAACTTCCTAATTATGACTAATAACATTAACGTTTTTAAATTCTTTATATAATTTTTAATAATAATTTTTGTACTCGTTAACGATATGCCAAAACTACATCCTAAGTAGGTATGTCCTAAGTGGTTGTCTTAAGTTCTTAATGTTTTGCATCCATATGGAGTAATCAGACCACATAGCACGTTGGCTTTTTATAGCCAACGAAGAGCAATCATATGATAATTTAAAAAGTTAGTTATATCAGAACATTTTGACACTCTTTAGCAACGGTTTTAAGTTACCTGTAAACCGTATACCAAGTTTCGAAAAATAACCGTTTGACATACCAAGTAGAATAGGACAATTAATTCTTTGTTCAGAAAACAAAGGAAACAAAGTCCTAATGGCATTGTGAATGGAAATTAAAAATGGTCCCTCAATCTTTGTTTGATAACTTCAAGAACTTTCGAGAAAAGCGATAGTCAAAATAATTAACCTGGTTAATACTACATTCCAACTACAATATGTGTCGCAGTTGTGGTAGGTGGCTAAAGTGCTAAATACACTCTATTGATGGAAGTGATAATAGACATGAGCTTGGTTGTGGATTAGTTGTCAACAGGAATGTACATCAACGAATAAAACATGCACCCACTGAGGAGAAGACTGTTTTATAAAAATATGTTAAGTTGTCAACATCGCAACGAACTTCAAGACAATTGAAGACATGACTGGCGAGAACTAGGTTAATTTTTGTGAATTTTAATTAATGTTCCAAAGAGCAACACAAAGACCGAGGAAGAAATCAAGTTCTATGAACTGCTAAAAAATGAGCCCAATGGCGAACTCGATGGCAAGATAACATAAAGATGGATGCTTTGGAGTTGCTTGAAGTAGGGAATTTGCGAGCGGCTACCAGGAGTAGGAGTACTTGGAGGCATAAATTGAAGAATGTTAAGGCTCAATCTAAGCTCTAACACCACTGGAAGAAGAAGAAATATGTTCTTAAACTTTGCTTTCAAACAAATATAAAATTGAAACGTAGATATTTAAAATTTTATATAAAATTAGGTGGCCACCCTGAACCTATTTTGAACCCAAACTGTTTTTAAACATTTTTATTGAACCAAAAAAACATCAGACTATATCTCTTTTCAATAAAGTCTTCATTGTAATAGGTAAAAATGATTGTTCAAATAACTTAATAGTATGGAAGAATGCTGGATTTTTTTTTTAAATATATATTAAAAGCAAAAAGAATAGAAATACTGTTGATCATAAACTTTTATTGACAACATATAAATTGAACAGTAACCAACCTAAATTTATACAGGATAACTCTTTACACATATTTATAAAAATTTATTGAAATGTGTTCATATAAATAAAGATTGCATCTTCATTGATAATAAGTTATTGTTTATAGCAAGATTTCATCCTTGTACCCATAGTTTTTTATAACAATATACATATATTCCTTCCGATTGCCAACCACCAGATTTTGTGGTCTTCCCAGACCCTGGCCAAGTTCCTTTCAAACATCGCCGTTCAAATCCCCAATCCCTAAGTTCTTCTGGACGTTTGATTAGTTATCAACTTTTTCTACCACTTGCCTAAGGTCCATTCCACCACATGATGTAAGTATTAAAATTCTTGAAAACGTTATAAATACAGCAATTAAACAACCGCAAAGTAGTGCCAAACGCATTGCACAAAACTTAGGGCTATCACTAAATCTTGCGTCAAAAGCACTACATCGCTAAAAGCTGTGCCATTATCACCAACAAAGTGTGCAATATACAACATTTAATTGAACATCTTTTTGTATATCCAATGAATCACCTGTATAAATATATAATACAAAAATTGTTCTGAAACTACCATTTAAAATAAAATTGTATTAAAATTATCCAACCATTTCAATATTAGTTAACATCGTACACCTATTTTGCTGATAATTCAAAGAAAATCCACGATTAGCAACATCATTCGTCTCATTTCCATTGGTGTACACAGTTAATACAAACGGTTTTGAATAAGCTAGAAAAGTTTTAAATTACTTTAAAAATAAATTACTTTTTTTTACATATTTTATTAACCATACTTGTAACAGGAGGAAAATAATTTCCACAAAACCGGTCGTAATTTTGAAGAACATTATTAACGAATGGCGCTGGAATAACGACAAAATCGCTGGTACAATTTTCTCCCATAATTCCAGCAGCCGGAGTTCCAATTAACATTTGAACTCCGTCAGTGTCCCCAGAAACGGTAAATGATGACATGCTTGATGGTGTCCACGTTATCGAACAGTAGCCTGGTCTCATTGCTACGCAAATTCCGTAATTTTGATTAACTAATTGTCTGGTTCCGACTGCACCAATACTATTTAAACTACTACTTCCTGTAGAACCGTAATTAAAACTTTGAACGGTTCCACTTAATTCCGTATGATATTGAAGACATCCAGAAGGTGCTAAATAAATAATACTTTCAATAGACTTATAATAAAAAAGTAAACTTATACCTTTTGTGGGACAATCGCAACCGATTTGAGTCACTTTAAAATTCCAATTACGATTGCTTCCTTGAGCAGCAGACGTTGTTACGATGATTTGAATGTCTTGACTTTGATAAAAATCGACATAAACGTGTTGACCGGTATTTTCACCACATAAAACGGGTACTTGAGATCCTCCCCCGATTATGGTTAAGCTATCGTCTCTACAATTTCCATCGCCGTCAGGCTGAGCAAGCGTGGCACTAATAAAATCGATTCGAACCTAAATTATAAACAGTAAGTAGCAATCATAATTAACAAATATTGCATTTGGTATAAAACGTACTTGGCAAATATCTGAGTTACATTGCTTTATTGTGTAAACGCAACGATCACTACCCGTTCCGGTTACTGTGGATGGAAAATTTGTATTGACAAAGTATGTGTTGTTGTATGAAGATGTTGCCCCACAGCCAAGTTGAACTAAGATAAAGTAAATGTAGTAAACTAGGTTATTTTACACCTTACTAAGTAGATAATTTTTAAGTTAGTAGACGAGTCAATATTTCACCTCTATAAATGAAGTTCTTTTAGAGTTATTGCTAAATATGATGGCGCTAGAAAAACCTTATGAAAAGGCAAATTTTTTATAATGTTTTATACTGAAATATATGGAAATGATAATTTTAGAGTTAACAGAGGCTGGATTTCAAACTACAAAAAAAGAAATAATATGTGATAGTTCATAAAAATAAAAGCTGTAAGTGATAGGAAAAGCAAAAAATTCGAGGGCTATAAGAACGTAAATATACCTGTTGAATATAAATCATCTGCCATTGCATGGATAACAACAGAAATTTTCTAAAACTCTAAAAAGAAGTCTTAATTTGTCTGAAAGAGCTCTGCTAATCGGCGATAACGCCTCAATACATAAAAACTATTGAAGAGCTGACTAGTGAGAATGAACAATTTACAACATTATTTCCTTCACCAAATTGTACTGTACTTCTACAGCTTATGAGCCAAAATGCGATTAGGCTGACAAAACTTTTTTGTCAGAAAAGTGTTTTAGTCCATATTTTATCTAATATTGAAAAAGACTTTGTTAAGTTATTAAAAACCATTAACCTGAAGGACACTGTATATCTGCTATGCAATACTGAGGAAAAAGCTTTCCCCGAAGTCTTGGAGAAGTGCTGGCACAAAATTATGACTCACGTGTAAATACCAACTCAAACACTGAATACGACGCTGAAGATCTGATGATGAGTTATCAATTTATTGCATCGCAATCTGCTTTCTTCAGGTGAAAAAAGGTAAACCACCGCACAGTTAAGCCTGAAATTGTTCCTTTAGTATCCTTTTTGTTAATAATTCGTAAATATTTAGCTATGTTTCAAATATGATGCATGATTTCACTGAGCAGAGTCTCACGAACACGGAAATACGTATTTGGTTTGAAAACTGGAAGACATAGATGGTAGAGATGAACAACACGAGAGTGAAAATGAAGATCAAGAGTTAAAAATTAATGTTAAGAATAATAAGGCAGTTAAAAATTTGGATGTGTGCATAAAGTGGGCAGAAGAAAATAATATTCTACTGAATGAACCAGAAATCCTATTCTGGTCAAGTTGATTGTTTCATCAAGAAAACAAAAATTATAAGTTATTTCAAAACATAATATAAAAATTAATAAGGTATGCCTCTGAGAATAATCTTTGAGAGCTTGATAAAAATCGTTATGATGTATGGAGTGGAGATATTAGGATGAAAGGAGCAAGGGCTGTTAGAGGATGTGCAGGCCATGTACCTACTGAAGGTGGATGTTGGGGTGGATCTTCCATAAAGTTAAAATGTTGTTTATAAAATTAATTTACTTACTTACGCAACATACACCAATATTACTTGCACAACTTCCGGATGCTATACCCCCAATATCAGCACATTGCCTTTTTGTATAACAAGTACCAACAAGGCTACTCGAACTGTTACAGGCATTATTGGCAAATCTAACTACGCCGACACCAAATCCAAGTCCCCAAAATCCAATAACTTAAAAAATACAACTCAATTTTTGTTTATATTTTTAGAAAACAATATTTACATTTCCCATTTCTTTCAAGTGTTGTATCTTGATTCTCTATAATATTTAGATTATTTTTTACAGTTATACCAAAAATTGGTAATACTAGAAATATAATAGCGAAATGCATAATGCAAAAAGCTTCAATAAATCAGAAATGCACTCTTGAACTATTTAAATATGCGAAAAGTATACCGTTCGGCTATTGTACATATTTGCGGAAAGCTTGATAATGAAGTCTCTTTAAAACAGTTATGTTTGTTGGAAAAGTTGTTACAGTTTAAGCTTAATGTTTAAACTAATCATTGGTAACTTAAAATTATCGCATGATTTAAAAGTCAATTTATTTTTAAGAATGTAAAATTTGATAGAAAATAAAAAAAACAATTTTTAACATTAATTTATTTACAAAATATCAAAAAAAAATATTATAATTGTTTATTTTCAGAAACAGCTTTAACGTGATCAGAAATAGCACCAAGCGGATCTTTCTTAAAATCATTATTATTCATCAAATTTTTATAAATCTGCAAATGAAGAGCCATATTTTTCTTCCGTTTTCTCTCCTTAGCAATCGCTTTCTTTTTAACCACCCCTTCTTTAGGTTTATCATCACCACTACTCTTTATCAACGATTCCAAATCAGGTAAAGCATCCCTTAAAGTGTTTGTATCACCAATAATAGCCACCTTACTACGTTTCTTCTTCAACTTGGCTTCTTTCTTTAATTGATTTACCGTATCTATTTTTCTTAACAATAAATCTTTTTTCAACTTCAATTTATCTTTTTTAGATAAAGTATTAGTTTTAGCACTTAATTCAGATTTCAAGGATTTGAATGATTTCACACTAACAACATCATCATTCTTTAATTTGTTTAAACTTGAAACATCAATGTTTAAATCTGCGAAAGGATTATTTGATGGGAAAACTACAGGTGGTAATTTAAAGTCTGGGGAAGTGTCTTTTTTCTCGTTTTTTAATGAATCTTTTTGATTATTATTATTTGAAAGGTGTAGTTTGTTTCTATTTCTTCGCAGTTTACCCATTATAACGGTTATAACCTAAAATAACTACAAAATAAGATAAACACGTGTTTTTGACACTTATTTGACGTTTAATCGACATCAAATTAACGATTAATTTTCAATTTATATTGATATTGAATGAATAATCAGATATAATAAAACAAAAATTAATAATTAATATTACACAATTATGTTTTAAATATTAAACAATTAATAACAGTTTAATATTAGAATTTGATTCCGCAACTATCTTCACATAAATAATTATTTTTCAATATTTTTTAAAACCATTTTGATAATTATAAATAATTTTAATCAGCATTTTCTAATCAATACTTATTAATTATTTTCAGTTATATTTTATTTTAAATTCGACAATTGTTCTACAATTATCATTTGACAGTTTAGTTTTGAACCTAATTTCACTTAATACATTTTGTGTTGTCATTGCTATATCAAATTTGAGACTACATTAGCAGAAAAATGGCTCTTTTAAGCGCTTCTCAACCCAATTACCCTGATTATTCTACACAGGGAATTACCAAACATCATTTTAGTCCTTACGCCGATAACGGAGGGTGAGTTTTGTAGGATTTGAAAAAGTATAACCTAACATTTTTGAGTGACTATTAAATTTTGTTCATTTTAGGAGTATTGTAGCAATTGGGGGTGATGGATTTGTAGTAATTGGTGCCGATACTCGTCTCAGCACCGGTTTTTCAATTTACACCCGAGATCAAAACAAAATCTTTAAATTAACCAATCAAACCGTTCTTGGATGTGCCGGATGTTGGTGTGATACATTAACTTTAACTAGAATCTTGAAAGCTCGCATGCAAATGTACGAACAAGAACATAACAAAACCATGTCAACCACAGCTGCAGCTCAAATGCTTTCAACCATGCTGTATTACAAAAGATTCTTTCCGTATTACATTTCAAACATTCTTTGTGGTTTAGATTCTGATGGTAAAGGTTGTGTGTACAGCTATGATCCAATAGGGCATTGTGAAAGAACCACCTATCGTGCTGGAGGCTCTTCTGGAGCTTTACTTCAGCCATTATTGGATAATCAAATTGGATTTAAAAATATGGAAAATGTTACTAATAAGGAAATTACATTGGAAAGAGCTCTTTCTGTAATTAAAGATGTCTTTATTTCTGCTGCAGAAAGAGATATTTATACTGGGGATAGTATCATAATTAATGTTATCACTAAAGATGGGGTTAAAGAAGATAAATTTGAGCTTAGAAAGGATTAAATCTTAATTTTTGGTGTTTTTTTTTAATATGTATTAAATAAAGTTCTTTTTTTTTTTTTTTTTTTTTCATTATTTACAATTCTTTGAAAATAAAATTTTTCTATTTAGTGCATATCTAAATAAAATCATACTTTTTTCAAAGTTTATTTGTTAACATATTTACAAACTGCTTCAATAACATATATAGCTCATACCAATATAAGTTGAGGCAGTTTTTAGAAATCAGATAAAGAATTAATTGCTTTTATCAGATTTACTTTGTACTTGCTTTGTATGAGAAACTTAATTTGGTTAAGAAACATCAAATTCAAGTTATTTCTTTTTTAAGAATTTTGGCTCAACAAATATGGTATGAACTGTACATAGTTAATGTCATATTACTGGTTTTTAATTAAAGGTACCCTCACCTTAATCTTATATGGATTCCAGATGTTTAAATACAACCTTAATGATATAAAGTAATGGAATGACCTTTGAGATGCTATTTTAGTATACTAAGTTTGATAGTATTTCTTGTGAACATTTAAACCTATGTACAGGTGTATCTAAAAAACTCACAAACTTCATGAAAATATTGTCAATGGAAAATTAAGATAGTTTCTAAAATGAGCCATATGCAACATGATTTCCAAATGTATAAATTTAACTCGTAGCTGATTGCGTCCTGAATCACATGCTGTGTTCAATATACTAAAGTTACTAAGGATTACTAGCATCACCAAATGTTTACTTACCGAGCGATAAATTCCTCGATTTTAGTAGCATTTTTTGTAAGAGGAGGCCAAAATATTCTCTACTTATCTCGACGTTTGTAGCAATAAGCCTTAGTTCCTACAAAAAACCCAAATATTTCAGTTTTTGAGTGTAGCCTGGACTACAGAAACGAAGTTTATGTGCGGAGACATGTTTTGAGATAAATATAGTTGAAGTTTGAAATAACTGTGCGCTGATTTTCTACATTATTGATAATATATTGTAAGAGCGCATTGCCCTATTAAAATCAGTCAAAATCTCACATCGAACTTTTTGACATCTTGAAGCTCATAGGAAGCTCACAAGGAAAAATTTCTCTCATGGTATAAAGTGTCTCTAAATACGCTGTTTCCACAGTTGTCAATGTTTTGTAACTAGAAAGCAACAACAATTTGCGTTGTGGCGTGATTTTATAGAAACATGTCAACAAAGAGGTCTAAAGAAAGGCTGCAGTTTGTTACTATTACCTTGTTACAGCAGAAACGAAAAGGTCTCACTGATACAGGGTGAGAGATTGGATTAAATGGAGGGAAAACAAGAATGTAATGGACACATTATTAGAAGAATTAGAACGAGAAGATAAGGAATGTAATAAGAACTTTCTTCGAATATCCGCTGCTGATTTTCGTTATTTGCTGGACAAAATAAAGTTGACAGTTGAAAAACAAAACACATATGCGAGATGCAATTCTAGCAGTCGAACCCTTTACTTTTTGGCTACCGGTAGGTACATTCTCATTCTTGAGTATCCAGTGAGCATGTACTATTTCGCGAATTGTACCTGAAGTCTGTTCTGCAATTTACAGTGTTCTAAGAGAAGAATATTTACAAGTAAGTATATGAAATATCTCTTTATTAAACTATTATTTTACATTTTGAAGTAAGAGCTCCTTCAGAACTACCGTCATCTAGAACTTCTGGGTCACTATTAATTACCGGGATCTGCAACGTGGACTCATGCATGGTTTGCTCTTTGTTTATGGGTTGCTGTAGTAATGGAATTGTATTTTCCTGTAATTTAAGCTCATAGTTGTCGTTCATTTTTAAGATAACTCGCTGTATTTCCCTCTTCGCCCAGGATAGCAACTCTGGAGTTTTGGAGTTCATATTGCGCAGTTTGTCAGCCACATAATCTCTAAATATTTCAAAAGTGTCTGTTGACTTTGACATAACCCTAAGGCATTCGTAAAGTGTAACTTGTTTTTCTTGCTCTTTCTTCTTTTTTAATGTTAGTTTTACCGATGAAGTTCTGGATGAACTTGAAGTGTTGTCCATATTCATATCTTGTTGAAGCGAGTCTTCACTCTCTATAATTTCGTGTAGGTGTTTGGTTAGAACTTTTTGTAGTCCAAGTCACATATAATGTTTTAAGACAGCCGTAAATGAGTGGTTTTGTAGGCCTTTAAAGAAAAACTTACAACTGCCGTTTCGCCATTTGGACCCACTTCAAAACAATAATAATACAATAATCACTCCCAACATAGATTCAGGATGTCAGGACGTGAAACGATTGCTTGCAAACCCACCTCGGACATATAAGCCACCAAAGCAGCGACATGCCTTACGTAACGTCTTTAAACGACATTCCCAAAGAAAAACCCAACCCAAATGCAAAAACTGAATACATCAATTTATTTTTACATTAAATACAAGAATACAGTCGACGTTGTTTGGATCGAGGAACTCATCCTATCCAATTATCCTACCCATCTCATAAAACTAAAATATAGATAACTAGTGTAACTATTGAATGTAACAATTTGTATTACTGGCTGTATGTTTGCATATTGTGTTGATGACCATGGATTTGTAGGGTCTGTTGCGCGATTTAATTGCTTCTTATATCCTGAGTTGTAAGTGTAATTGATGTGTATTGACGCGTATTTGAGCAGGTTGAAACTCTAATGAAACATTTTATGTTAAATCTAACGGTGAATGATTGTTAATTACAGGTACTTTAATGACGCATGTTCGATTTGAAGAGATTGTTGATACTCATGGTATTACACGATGTTGAACTTTTGCGCATTTTTAAATATGTTTCAGGTAAATGGAGTGTTTAATGGAATAAGTAGGACGTTTTAGACCATTTTTTCTACCTTTGAGAGCTGTATTGCCTTAATTCATTGCCTCTTTAATTCCTTCTGATTGTGTCTTTGTGGCAGAACCAATTTTCCTCAGAATGACTCTAAATCATATAAATTTTATATCAAGATTAATTGGAACCACGTTCTGATGATGATGAAGCTGTCAATGTCCAATGCCCAACCCAACCCAACTAATAATTGCCTTCCTTGGTTTACGACAGCAATAATAACAAATTTGCGAACTAATAAAGACTATAAAATTGTGCTGAAAGCATAAAATTAAAGTATTTTTGTCAGAATTCAAACGGTTATGAAAAAATGTCAATGACCAAATCCGGATTTCCCACAAAAAAACTGTACTGACTTCCAGTTTTGGTCTCAGAGGCATTCACAATATCATTTCTCAGCAAGAGACTGATTGTCTAAACCGTTGCTGTTAATCTATAATTTGTATATTATTAGTATTTAGTAGTGGTAATCCGAAAGATGTCTTCAATTATGTATCAATGTCGTTACTGCCAAACTTTTCAAAGAGCTACATTTTGCCATCGCAGCTAGTATTTGTAGACTACAAGCCAAACGCAACAAATTTGGGCCAATACACACTTTCTGCGTCAGATGTAATGAATGATGATTACCAGACTGAAACCATTTACTGATGTTTTTCAAGATTTTGAACGATTGGGCCATAACATCCTACTAGACAAACTTGCGTGGTCGCGTTTCAAGGAAGATTGTTGGTTCTTCGTACCTTACAATAGTTTCAATAGCTCATCTAAAAATCATTAATAAAGTATGATTAGTTGATTGAAAGTGTGGTAATTAATCGTTGTGCGCCGATAGTGCGGAACTTGAGACAGTTTCCTGATTCAAAAAAAAACTAACAAACTTGAATACCTAATTTTGCTTTACACGTTAGTAAGGTCAAAAATAGAATAAGCTGTTTAAATAATTTTGCATATTCATCTGTTACTTTTTCTGTTATAAAGTAGCCCGAACTGAAACCAACAAAATTAACATAAAAAAGATTGTTCCTCTAAAGCTATTTTATTCTTTATTAAGATTAATTGTCCTGCAGAAGTTGTGACACCATCTGAAAATAAATTATTATTATATTTGTTATTGGACTCATGCATGTTAGGGTAAGATATTCTTATTACAACACACATGACTACATTAACAACATAATTGTACTTACAGGATAAAAGTCGGGTATTCAACAAAACAGAAATTCATTACAAAATAAACTAAATAAAGCGAATATGTGCAAAGTTACTTCTGAAGAGGTCAGAATGATTTATAATAAATGTTAGGATATATATGTCCAACCAACTGCGAAAAAGTTAATACCAATAGTATATTGTAAACATTACAACATTACGTTTTCTAAGCAAAAATGAACTACTCTTAATTGTTGATAAAGAAGAGGACCACTCAGTAATTTGTTGATGTTTTTAGATACAACTGTATTATGCTTATAATGAAATGAAATAAAATAAAGGACAAAATATGTAAACTAAATATGTTTATTTCATTAGTTTCATTGAAAAAAAAAATGTAACAAAACAAATCAATACGAACTATATCATGATGACACTGAAAAAAGTTCTAAAAAAAATGGATCATTATTTCAAAGCTAAAAAATGGAAACGAATGAAACAATGAAACCATTCTCGGAAAGAAATTAGTGGTCCGAGTTGCGTAGTTCGCCTACGTGAAGATATTAAGTTGTATTACAGTGTTGTTATAATACACACGCACACGCACTTATGGAGATAAAATTTTTAAGAGACGATGATGACGACGGCAAACGAGAAAAACCTACATTTCCGTTTAGACAGGATGTCGGTTTGAGAAGATAGTGCACTGCCCGCCCGCGAGAACCGATTTACTTTTTACTCGCGGGGGGCAGAGCCGCCATTGGTTTACCGACGTCTTTGCCACGCAATTTTAATCCAATCACCCTTTCTATTTTCCCGATGATCACATTATTCGGGATTCCGCGTCCCGCCTCATAATCAGTTATCACTTGCGGTTTTTCATTTATTTTTGTAGCCAAATCCTTTTGACTCAAATTCTTTGCCTGTCGCCCTTGTTGTATCAATTTCCCGACGTCAAGGGAAATCTTTTCGTGACGTAATTCTTCAGTCTCTCTATCCAATTTTGCTGTATTTTTTGTTGCAACGTGCTGTTTATTACTTCCAGCACCCCCTAGAAATTTAGCTGAATTTTATCACAGAAATAACTAAAATGTAGTTATTTCTTTTTTTACTCTTTTAACAGGCTTAATACTATTTAAAACTATATAGGTTGTTTTAAAAGTAACAGGGCAAACTGCAATATGATTAAAACATAACAAAGTTGAAAAAGAATTGAAATGCTTAATATAATAAAAACCTCGATATAAGCGGGGTATTCCCCGAATTGTCTATATGATGCATAAATCAAGAACGGTAGTTCTACTTTTAATTGTTATTCAGTGCTAGATTGTTGAATATTTTTATTGAACTAAAAGAAAAAAAATTGGGTTTAGCCGTCTTAAGAGACGCACAGCTAAACCAGAATGTTTCTAGTTCTAGTTGTTATTCAGCGCTTGTCGTATAGCAGTTAGTCTTATAGTTTTAATTATTATTCATCGCTGACGTCATGAACGGGCCTTCGACCTGTGCACCTGCTCCTAGGATGTAACAGTCCTGTTAGATTCTACCGTCCTTGATATAAATATAAAGCCTTATAGATTGAACACAACAGTGTGGATATTAAAATTATTGATATAACCGATTTTTGGCCATAACAGACACTCCCTTCCCCATATTAATCTGTTATATTGAGGCTTTGGTGTATTTTTGCCTTAAACTTTGCCTTTAAAGTTTTAATCATAAAAACAATTTGGCTTACTATTTTTAAAACACCCTATAAAACATCTTCACCATATTATAACAACATTTAATTTATTTTTGGAATACATTACCACCTTACCATACTGATAATGATAAAGTTTTTTTATCAAAAAGATAAAATTTTTAATAACAAAACCAACCTTAAAAATTTCTTCGATAAAATTTACATTGATTTTATTAATTGAAAATGTTCAAAACTATTCATGATACAAAAATACATAATCTACATCTCTAATTGATTGAATAATACAGAATTGGGCAGAGAAACTTCCAATAATATGTGGTTTATAAGAACATTTGATGATCTAAGATATTATGATGCTTTGGGTTAAGGAGAATTTTTCATAAAAACATATTTCCCCAAATTGTCTCTTCATTGCTAATTTTATTAGGGTAATATTTGAGCCCTCTAATTTTGCTTCAAAATGTAGTCCCCTCCACTAAAGCACCATAATAGTTATTTAGATTATCAATAAATTTCCAAATCACCACTCTTCCTTGATAACTTCTTCAATTCCCCATGAAATCTCCTCACACAACCACGGACTCACTCTTCAATTCACAAAAAAGGAAGTTTCTCTGCCGAATCCTGTACAATTTTAAAACATTTTAATTATTCATATAAATCTTTCAAAATATATCCTACCTTGGAGTGTTTTTATAATTAGAAATAGGTAATGTAATAAATTCCGATTGCATCATATTTTTCTAAGTACTTGTTTTATTATGGTAAATTGTTTTAATAATGCAATTCATTGCCACACGTAGAATTTTCCGGTAAAATGCTGATGGCAATAACACGTAGAGATTCTAAAATGCGACTTACATTTCTGTTGTGTTTCAACAGCCAAACCCTGTCTTCTTGCCGCATTAATGGCTTGTTCGCTTTTCATAGCGGAAGCCTTCGGGGCTCGTTTCTTCAATACCGTTACAGTATCCCAGTCCGACATTTTCACTTTATTTTTATAAAATAAAATTGTAACTACAATTTGGTCGCTAGACGAACGATGTGATATTAGTTGCAAAACATAAAATAAATTGAGCTGTTATCGTTATTCAAAAAAAATGATTTATTCAATTTTACGTTTATTTAGCAACATTAGAAATCGGATTTATTATAGCTATTTTTTTTTGTAACCTTTAATTAATAAAACAATGTTATGCAATTTTTGACAAGTAATTGATTTGACTGATGTTGTATATCCTTTACTTCTGTTGCTAACTTCGCGTCACGCCATCTTGTTTGTTCCAGTCGACGGTCAAGCGTCTTCTTCCACAAGCGTACGGTTTTTCTGTGGTAAGTTTAGTTTTAAATCACTTTTTACGATGAATTATTATCAAAATGTTCGATCATTAATAAGCTTAACTAATTTTAATATAATTCTCGCTGAGTTATCGCCCGAAAAGTTATAATTGAAAATTTTAATGGTAGCCGTCAATAATTTCTTTTGTGTTAGAACATCGACCCGATATAATAAACATTAAATTCAAACGTTTCTATACAGTAGATACGATAATATCAGTTAAAATGAATTAATTTTATGTTTTTAGTTTTCTTAGAATGGCGTCATACACACTAATTAAATTTAGAGAATATTTTTACGAAAACGATATATACAAGTATATGTATGAACACAAAGTAAAAGAAATATTTTGCGTAATTTGAAGTTAAAAATAACAAATATTCAAACGGAATAATTTCGCGGCTTTTCTGTGATGTAGGAAGTGTAAAGTCGGAAACAAGTTAAATTGTCCGCTAGATGGCGCTTGCGAAGTGACAGTTTCAAAACAAATCATAATAAACATAACCTATAAAACTTAAAAATGGTCGACTTTAATACTCTATCTCTTTTCAATACATCCTAAATGACGTCCGTCTCTTTCTCGCATTTGAGCTCGTCATCAACGCGGGAATTTTAAAAGCGCAAATGAATTTAATTTTTTAATTTAAATTTTCAAAAATTTTTTTTAACTATGAGTTTATTCGAAAATATTCGAAAAAAGAATACTGGTAATTATATTTTTATACAAACTTTTAGAAAATATAATAAAAAAAATAGTGTTTGGTCAAATAAGCGATGTATGAACACACATATTAACAGTGCGTAAAGAGAATAGGTTGAAATATAAACTTGCAATGCAACCCTCGCCAAGTTAATAGGACCCCTTGGTAAGTTGGTCTTTTTTACCTCACCTACTATACAGGGGGTGTTCTGGTCAATTGGTAACATAAACAACAAAAAATACTATAAAACATAATCAATCAACAAGGTTATTTTACGTGTAATCTTGGTTTATTTCATATCATTTATCGTTATTCAAGTTTTAGAATTAACACAACTTCATGTGTTTGCTGCATAGTTAGAATATGAAGCATAATTCGTATTAATCAATATAAATGAATAATTTTGATACTAATTCATTGTAATACAATAATTTAGTAAAAACTAAATAAAATCTAACGTACAACTTCATCTATAGTACGTAATTCCGTACAATATTCAACTAAAATAAGAAAAGCAGTTTCCTTCTTTTTCTTAAAAAAAAAAGTTGAGTCATAAAATGGCAAATAGAAGATTCGGAGGTGGACCTAACAGAGGTAGTCGCGGTTTTCCTCAAAACGCGAACGTAAATCCTTGGCAGGGAAACAGTGGCCCCACGGCGGGGGTTAACTCAATGGGCAATCCCAATTTGCAAACGCAGCTCGCCCTCGCTTTGAGTAGCTTACTTCAACCGCAACAAGTGAACGATCCTCCATCTTTACTCTCGCTTAACACCTCGTCGAGAAATTTCAATAACCAAGACAACTATTCCAATCGCCTCGGCGGCAATAGGGGCCGTAATGATTTCAGGCGAACCGAACCTTACAACAAGGTATGAATCTAATTTATACATTTTCTATATTATTTTTTTTATTCACTCTCCAATACTACATATATTATTCTGTATCTTAGTGTATCAATTTTTCCTTAAGTTTATTTTACAAGCTATATTTTATTCACAAAAAAATTCTATTAATATTTATTTCTATTTAAAAGAGTTTTAATATATTTCCCGAATATTTTCCAGTCTCATTTTCCTTTTCAATATATACATATCGATATTGAATCACAAATTTTTAAAACCCTATGACGCTTCCAACCCCAGTTATTAATATTTAAAAAAAGAGAAGTTGTCTGGTTTTAAAATCAATAAATTCAACTCACTGCTCTTTAAAGTAGAGCGCTCTAAACATGGAACAGCTGAATATGGTTGCCAAATTTCTTAAATCAATTTGAGTGTTCGTTTTGAGATCTACATAACACAAAATGATTTTTAAAATATTTTCAATCTTGATTCCACGACTTCCATATTTTCTTCAATAAATATAGCCTGTAAGGTAAAATTAAGGATGTTTTATACACCTCTACATTATATTACAACATGTAAAACTTAAAAAAATCGAATAGACCTCTTTTTTGGTGTATATCCTTTTATAGATAATCTTCTATTGTAATTCTAATTAAATCGAGTTTGTATTTTATATAGCAAAAATAAAATAATTCAAGTTGTGTTATTTATCTGAACGAATCCAATTCGTCGAGTTGTTTAATGAATTCTTAATCAACTGTAAAAAATGTCTTTGTATCCAGAAAACGTTATTCTACAAAAAAAATTATTTGTACCCACTTGCATGTTTTAATATGGACATTTTCTCTTCGTGTTCAATAATGAAACCACCACGAAAGATTTTTGATCTGTAACAATAAAAAGGCAATCATAATTGTCGTTTTTATTGTATTCTTCATTGAAATTTCTTTGGAAACTCGATTAGAACCAGAGATCCGGTGGTGGACGTGGTGGCTGGCGCAACGAAAAAGGTCAAAATAGGGGGAACTCCCGCAATCGTCCTTTTGGCAACAATAAGTCGCAGGGCAAAGACGGTGGCAAGTCAAAGGCCGATCGAAAGTCTTCTGATAACAAGGCCTCACAAGGTTCTGCTGAGACTGCTACTCCCCAAAAACATCATGACGATGAGAGTAGGTAAGGAAAATAATCAAAACTTGGATTAATTTTTTTATTTAAATAGAACACATTTTTTCCCTCTATCCTAAACGAATTTACAGGATGTAGAAAAAAGCTCATCATTTTTATTTTCTCTTTATTTCTTTCAAGATGACCTTTATCTTCTTAAAATTATCAAAATCAAATAAATTAATCTTCTTTGTTCACGTTCTTTAAGTCAAATTTCCCCTACATTAAATAAAGATGATAAATTTTTAATTAAATTTTTGATGTTAAATTTGGTCTTTCTTTTTCCTTTCTTGTAATAATAGGGAAGATGTTGATAAGAAACGCGATTGGAAGGAAGAGAAAAACGCTAGCGACGAGAAAGAAAAGGACGACTCCAAGGAAGCTGGAGAGAACGCGGAAAAAGTAACCAAGAAAGATACCACAAAGTATGAAGGCTTACCCAACAGTTTATTCCACTGCTTTGTTTGCAATAAAAGCATGTGGGATGGAGATTCCTTCCAAAATCATATTAGAGGTAAATTAAATATTTCTTATGAATTAAATTTTTATCTTATTTTAAATCGTTTTAGGCAAGGCTCATATTCAAATGATGGACAGTTTGGAAGAAAGTTTCCAAATTACTGTTAAAATCCTTCGCGAAAATATGCGCTTAGCTGAAGAAAAGAAGATGATCGAATGGAGTCGCATGCAGAGAAATAGCCGCAAATTTCATCAACGCAATGAGCCAGAAAGTCATTGTAATATGTGCGATTTGAAGTTTATGGGGAAAATTATTGCCCATAGAAAGTAAATATTATTTATATCTTCTTGCATTAGAAATGGGTTAGGGAGGATGGGGTTAACTGGCAAGTCATTATAATTGTGTATATTCTCCATGGGGTCTTGCTAATTGTTATATGTATAACCAGTTTTTTTTTTAACCACTCTCCAATTGTCTGATTTCGAACTCGCGACTCGTTCATGGAGGTGTGGTAATAACTAAAAAACCTTGGAAACTTTTACCTGCGCTCTAAAATCCTAAAACTACGAATTTTTATCAAATAAACCAAAGGGCAGTGGAAAGAAATTTGAGATAGGGGTTGAATACTGTCAGCACAGCTGCCACCACAAAAAATTTCATTAAAATCCCACTTTACGTTTGCTCCCACTAAATTTTCTTATTTTCTGCATAACCCTCCTTATTTGCGTTTATTAAAATGGTTTTTTGTTCAGCTTTTATTATCTTTCGCTTCATTCCTAACTGCACTGCTGAAACAGCATTGTAATTTAAGATTTTTTGTTATAAATTGTCGCTACAAAGTTCTTCTTTTTGATCATATTTTATGTCATATATATTTGAATAATAATGTGACATCTAGTAGGCATTAATTCTATTAACCCTTGTCATGCGGACAAGGTACAAAATATAAAATGGTAATTATTTTATTATGTAAAATAAAGAACACACAAAATTTCATATAAATTAATTAATAACCATTTAACAATAGGAGAAGCACCACGACTGCCATGTGGTGCTTTAGATCCTTCTGATGCTACTACAATTCATAGTCTGACTGAAGTCTGAATTCATATGAAAAAATGAATTTCTGATCATAAGTGGATTGTTACTACGAATTTTAATTGCAGGCAAACATAGTTGGTCAGCGAAATTTTCTGCATTGATCTTTGGTTCTCAAATATGGATTATGTTCTCTACAAATTATGTAAGATACTAATCCATTGATGTTAATTAATTATAAAAGAATGCTAGACGCCAATGCAACATCCTTATTTTGACAGTATACTCGCCCAACATTTTATCCACGACATCTACTCCGTCTTTAATTTTATTATAGTTGTTATCTTTAGCTTACTGTGTATGTCCCATTTCGTCAATAGACAACCTAAGCCTTGACGTCACAGAGATGGGCGGAGCTTATACCGACTCCAAACATTTTCGTTGCTAACTGTGTTGCTAATGGTAAATCGCCATAATATGCAATTTTTCATTTATGTTAAAATAAAATAAACTAAGTGATGACATTTCAAATGATATTGTTTGGCGATTTATCTTAGCAACTGTGTTTAGCAACGAAATTGTTTGGAGCCAGTATAAGCTCCGCCCATCTCTGTGACGTCAGACTTAGGCCGTCTATTAGTGTTAAAATAAAATAAACTAAGTAACTTTTTATATGACATTTTTATGACGATTTATCGTTTTAGCAACTGTGGTTGGTACCTTGTTTCCAGTCGGTGTAAGCTCCGCCCATCTCTGACGTCAGACTTAGGCAGTCTATTATATACATCAATGATAGAAACAACTGCCTTATTCTTCTTTGACATTTATGAACATAGTTGAATTCTGATTGTAAGCAAAACTAGTCAAGTAAACTGGTCTTTGTTTAGCTCCCATATTGCTTGGTAATATATGCCATCATATGCCAGGAGTTCAAGACCTTTGTTAATTTTACGAAATTTGTGAAGAAATTATCATTTGTTACATTTCTTCCCGACCCCTTATAAGGATTTACTAAGTGTAATAGTGTTTGTTCACCAACATTAACCTGTTTAGGAGGATCATCTGGTGGTTTCCCAGTGTAGATAGGCGCTTGATGCATCATAAGCAAAGAAAACTTATCCTATATTTTGCTGGTTTGGAAGATATATACTGTGCAAACTTGGTATTTATCTGTTTTCACATGTTCTATAAGCGTATCATTTTGAATCAGTCATACAATATAGCTGCTCATATTAGAGGCAAAGCATCAATTTTCCACATATCTACATTTTGCTTATTGTCTGTGGAACACCATTAAAAATTAATGCGCTTAAAAAAGTGATAAGCTTAATTTCCATAAACTTTTGAAATGTCATCTGTGGTGGTCGCTCTGAAATATTAGGTAATCTTTGGATCAAATTATTGTTGTAAGCTTCACAACCTCTATCAGCTCTCCCATTGTTTTCATAAAATAATGTCGGGTATCTTTGGAGACATTATTAACTTGAAAATCTGTTTAGCTGTATATGTGTTACTAATTGCTGCAGGTCCTCCTTTTCGCCATAAAATATTACGAGATCTTGTTTGGCTACTGGATGGCGGATTAGTATATTTATCTTCAACATCTTTAGGGATCGTCATAATCAGAGCCCATATAGTTTAGGAAACGTGCGCCCTTTCACACAAAGCGAATGGTTTCCTCTGCACACTTCGTTTTACGTCGCCGAATATTAAGGCTGAAGTGGGAAACGTTTGAAACTTTCCTAGAATGTACAGGTCTTGGTCATAACATGATATTAACCTGGAATATCGTTTTCTGTCATTACAATGAACTGGGCTTTGCTTCATTGTCACTCATAATGTGGTATATATGTATATAACGGAAAAAAAGTAAAAAAAAACACTGTAAAAATAAAATACATAGTAAAAGAAAAGATGTGTTATAGTATAAATAAAATATTACGACCTGAAGATTTTTAATGTGGATTTTATGGAATATTACTTGAACTTTGTCTCCTGAAGGTCTGTACTTTATTAAAAACACCTCTTATGAAGCTTTTAATAATCTACATCAAAAATATTTTCTTAATTAGGTATATAAACTTTACAAGGTGGATAAAATAAAGAGTAAAAGGTCTAAATGAGTTAAACTTTGGTAACAAAAGAACCATCCTTTTAAGAAGTAATGTCCTATTTACAATTTATTTGTTATAAGTTAAAAATCGGCACAAAAAATAACATTAATTTTAAATATACATATAAAATATGTTAAGGTTTAATTAATAGTTTCACATGGAATGTACACAATTATATTACTGAATGCCAGGTACTACCCTCATAACACTTTATATGTAATCATAGTTTGTTGAATTTTTTTTTATAACACAAAATTGTTTTTTAAGAACTGAAGGTCATCAACGTCTTAAGAGATTTTTACATCCCAACTGTGACATTTGCAACTTGGAATTTCCGTCTCGTATGGAATGGGTTGAACATAGATTCACTCCAGATCATTTATTTAGTTTGAAAGAGAAACTAAATTCTACTACTGGAAACGATATTGAAGGTCATATAATTGAAGAGGAAGTCGAATGGGATAATGATCCCATTTTACAAGAATCACTTCAAGGAGAAGATGAAAATCCCGTTCTTGAATTGGATGATGACCTCGCTAATTTATACAACCGAGTTCCGACATATTTACCACATAGACCTGTTGGTAAAAACAGCTTGACGAAACTTGAAGGGTTCTTTTGCGATATTTGCAAGAGATTTTTACGTAATGAAACTGATTCTCAGAATCATTTAAAAAGTGAGAAACATTATCATGAATTTGTAAGCGCTGTGAAAGATAAATTCCGTGCTAATGTTGAAAAGGATGAATTGGAAGGAAATTGGAAGAGAAAGAATAAAGGCGGAGAGGAAGGCGCTGAAGAAAAAGAGGACGAAGAAAAGGAAGGTTTAGATAAATCTCAAGACGAAAATGCTGAAAATGGAAGTGGTTAGTAAAAAAATTATCTTAACTAACTCAATCTAACTTTTTTCGTTTTGTTTTTCTGTTAGATATGTATGATCCTGAAGAAGCTTGCAAAGATGAAGAGGATGAAGATGAAAATGCTGGAGAAGTGAAAGAAGGTGAAGAAGGCGAGGAAACCACCAAACCAACAGCTGCTGTTGCTCAAGCGGAAGGGGTAAAAGCTGAACCTACCGCATCAGAAGCCGTTGTTGAAGCTGAAGTGAAGGTTGAGGCTCAATCACCAAATACCAGACGTCGCACCAACGTTCGGAATGGCGCAGGGCCCAAAAGCAAAAAAATAAGGAAGAATTGAATAAGTTCAAATCTATATAAATATAACATTCGCAATTAGATTTATTTTAAAGGTAATTTCTTATACTATATTGTTTTGTCTGTAGTTGTGGACATTTATTCTTTTTTTTTTTTAAATGACTTAAACTGATTGAAGCTGATTGTAATCGAGTATTTTATAGTGTAGTAATCATTTTTGTGAAAGTTCTAATAAATAAAAATATACTGAACGAATAAAGCAAATTGTGTTTTGATGTAAATTAAAACTTTTTGTTATCATTTAATGCGTGCAAATTGGCCATATATAAAAAGTTTGCGTTAAAGTGACATTTTTCTAAGTTATGGACACTAGAGATTTGTTACTATTCGTCTAATAATGCCAGTTTCTTTAGGATATACTTCTACAATATATTTCGTGTTGTTATTTCTTGGTGGATTTTAATTTTTAAAACATTGGGATTAATTTCTTGGTACTGTTTTTTTACTATGCATTGACTTTTTTCTGCAATTAATACTAGTAAGGATTTATATACTGTTTTGAAATTTATGATTATGTAATTAGCCATAAAGTCTATTACATGAAGTTGGAGGCATGTAATTTTATTTTTTTTGTAATGAGTTCTTTATTTTCTGATTTCTAGCATAATAATTCTTGAGTAACTTAAATTCGCATTCTTTAGAACTTGCGGATAATGGTGTTTTGGGGATAGCTCGTCTATGAATTTAAATTGGACTCAAATATGGAAACTTTTTAACTCGAAATTGGTATGTTCTCTTTGTGGATTTTAGTAGGTTCGGATGTTGAGTGTGATTGCAAATTGGTAACCATATTATTTTCCAAAATAATGTTGAACCTGAGTATAATGACATTTTCTACTAGCAGGCTGTGATTCAACTAACAAGTGTTGAAACTAGTTTTATACAACAACGTATAAAGCTAAATCCTGATATGTTCAAAATACAGAAAACCTCTTCGTAACTTGGAAGGCCACGTGGCTTTTTGCGGTCAACGTCATCTTCAAACTTCTTGTTCCTAGTGCGTATTATGACTTCTGATAAAAGTTTAAAAATAAATTTTGACGATTTTTGGAGAAGTGTTTGGTGTGATAAATTCATAATGCGTTATATTTGACAATTTTATATCGAATTCCAAGCAACCCATCCCATTTTGAACAAACGAAAACGTACAATTAAACACCTTCAGGTTTTTGTGATCTATGTGAACTTCAAAATGATATGAAGTAAAAGTTAGAGCATTTACTTTCACATTGCCTTTGAGTTTGTCAACTGTTTCAACATCAAAATATTGACAGAAATTAACAGAAGAGGTTAGGGGTTAGATATTAGGGTTAATTTGTTCATTATCTAGCATTAGCAAAGTATATGAGATTGACTCTTGCAAAAATTGTTTGCAACTAATTCTGACTTAACAGGGATCGTTTGTCGACAATGTTGTCAAGCACTTTCCAAATGTCTGTACTCAGCCAATGCTAAGACTAAACCTGACATTGATGATTTCAAAATAGGGTGACTTAAGGAGTGTGATTACTTATAATAAGCTTTTCCACGATTACTATCGAATCCTTATTGATAAAATCTCTGAAGAGATTTTGTATGGAGGCCAATTATATTTATGAACCATAGAAAATCTCTTCTGTAACCTTCAGAAACCTGTGATCGTTCACTTCTGAACTCTTATCCTCTTCCATGTCTTCTTGCTCTGTGGTGCAATCAACCACCGTCTGCCTGCCACTTCCTCCTACACTGTTTTTAGTTTGTCTAGGACTCCACACTGCTACTCTATATGCCCGCCTGTGACTAGTCAGCTTGGCCACATGTCCAGACCATTTCATCTTAGCCATTTCTTGAGTTATATCAGTAACCTTTGTTTGTCTCCTGACATTTTCCTGCTTGCATATATATTTTTTTAGTTCATATAAGCTTTTTTCATACAATTACTAATGTGTTGTCTAAATCTTAGGTCCGTATCGATTTGTAATCCCAAATTTCTGGCTGACTCAACACGATTTAAGGTGACATCACCAACCTCAACTCTGAAATCATTTAAAGTTTCCTTACCCCTAATTCAACCGAATATCATAATAATAATAAGTCGACTTTGAGCAATTGAGTTTTAATCCATGGCCCTCACCAAGCAGCCTCCGACACAGGAAAATCAATGTAGATCTGTGTATCAGCAGCGAAACAATGCATTTTACAGTTCCTCACCGAGGAATGCAAGTTGAACGTATAAATAATAATGGCCCCAATATGGATCCCTGCGGAACTCCTGAAGGAACCGGAAGGGGATCCGAGTATTCGTTGCCCAAACGCGGCCAAACAGGTAACTCACCAAAAGATCCATAGAACAACTTTCGAAACCAATATGACCCAAAATGGACAGCAGTAACTCGTGATTAATAGTGTCAAAAGCTTTACTGTAGTCAAGCAAAACCAATGCACACATTTTACCCTTATCAATTGCCGAAATTATATCATCCAACACATTCAACAGTAACGTAGTGCAACTATACCCCTCTCTAAACCCTGATTGCTGTTTTGGTAGAATAGAATCTTGAGTCAAATACTCTTTAATTTGCCTAGCCAGTATCTTTTCAAAAATCTTGAATAAAGTAGGAAGGATACTGATCGGCTGCAGGTGAGAAAACTCAGCTGGATTGCCATTTTTCAGGATTGGAGTCACGAGAGACGTCCTCTACTCCTGTGGAAACAACTGTTTGCAATGCAGAAATTGTAGATATGAGTAATTTCGTATTTTATATACACATTAACTAGATAAATTAGTTAATGTATGTATTGACTAGACAATGTGTGTTGACAATATATGTTAGTATCTTCGGAATTCAGTATTTTTGATTATTGTAGTGCATATTCAGTACTATTCTTGTAGATGTCAGATTTAATTCATTTAGCATTTCGTAGTTATGTAATGTTGTTAAATATTAGGAGTATATCATCTGCAAATCTGAGTTAGTTCAATCTTACACCATTGTGTGAACAGTTTTGGTGAAAAGAAGTCTCTCTGTCTTACACCTCTCTTCAATGCTATTCTGATGTCGTTGTTGTTTCGTTTATTTTGAGGTGAATCTTGTAAATATTTTTAATGATTTAAGTTCAGCACAATAAAATTTGATGATATCGGTGGTCATTCAATTAACTCTTTTCTTTTAATCCATTGATTGCCAAATAGTTGGTTGAAATAAGCTTTAAGAGAAGCAGAAATACTATATATGTATGGTAAAGTATAGTTTTATTTTACGTTAGTTTGAATAATATTATTTTCTTTTATTCGGTCTGGTTAGTCCGTTTCAAACAGAATTTTCATTCTACGAATGGAGGCCAATTTGTTACGCCCTACTAAATACTTCTATATCTACCACTTCACAATACACCGTATATAAACGAATTTTTATCGTACATGCACGTGAACATGTACGGTCAACTTGAAAATTCATGCCAGAAACCTGTTCGCATACACGACCCACTTTACAAATCAGTTTTATTCAGATGAATAAAACCGTTAGATGGTAGTATATTTATTGATTCGGAAGATTAAGGTGAAGAATTGGGCGATGTAAGAAGAATTTGAATAATAGAGCTTGGAAATATGATATAGAATAATATCAATACAAATTAAGGACGAATACTTATTTTAAGTTTGATGTTAAATTTAAGTTAGATAAAAAATATTCCATTCCGTTTGTTAAAACGGCGTCCATTAAAGTGGAAGTTTGGGGCCGCCGAGACGTAAGGAAATTACTGTGACTTGTGAGTTCATATCTAAACGGCCACGGGAGCTCAAGTTGATCGTATCGCAATGCAGATAACAAGGGACAAGTTCTCTAAATGTATAAAGGGCCATCCCTGTGTGTTCCTTGAAATTGCAGTTTAGGTCAGTTGGTTTCACAAGCTAAAATCCTCGTTGTGTACTTATACACCACCTGAACAAATTTTTGGTTTAAAGTAGTTTGTGTAGCAAGTTTCATCATTTATCATGTATGATAGTTAAATTAGATTTGAAGATGGATCACAATATTTTGTTGGATGTACACTTTATTAATACATTTTAGTTGAGATTTTAGTAAACCTACTGAGTTTGTATATTGTATTCGTAGTTGAATAATGTATGAAGTTGTTTCCTTCATCTGTCGCTTCAAAAATGGTTTCTTTTTGTTGAATTTCTTGGCGGGTGTCGTGTTTCAACGCAACGTCGTAGGCAACGACCGGCACCGGAACATCCGCCCTATTGTCTCGAGACTACTACTTGCGGTCTCATTCTCAGACCAAAAACAATAACTGTCTACTTTCTGAAATTTATTATCTTATTATGGATGAACATTTCTATGGATGCGGTACTTGTGGAAATTGTTTAATAATAGAAATAGTGCTTACCTAATAATTTTCATCCAAATACTAACAACATCCATTATGTTTAATAAACGGTATCAACTACATTAATTTGTTTAAAGCTAACGGTGTACAACCAATGTTATTTTATTAAAAAAACAAGTTACTTTTAACTTGTATTTATATGAAATATTTATACATAGATTTAAAATAAACTGAATAGTCGCAACAACATTTGCATTTTATTTAACTCAATAATCTGCTTTCCGCTACAGTAGTAGTAGAAGCATGCAACGTTTCCCTCTCTGGAATATCCGTAATATCAATTTGACATATTTATTCACTTGTATGTGATCCCTATGGCAATGGGAACGTCCCAGAGGATCGGGTCAGTGGTTGTTAGCGAAAACGTCAGATAAACTAAGCCGACCACGGTTTGCTCTCTCAGCCTGAATTCGCTTCCCTTACACTACCTGGTACAATTGCATTCAAGATAAGGGCGAGTTTGGCCATTCGAATTGGGAATATTTATCTACTTTATGCGCTTTTCCCCTTTCTACTTTTACCCTTCTTCTCGAATTTCTTTCCGATACACATCAATGATTCTCAATAAATATTCATAAAAGAATTGATTATTATATTAATTAAAAATTTCATTAGAAAAATTTGCTGGTTGTGTAAAAAGATAATCATAATATAAAAAAGTGCATTATTAATTTTCGTTAACGCACACTCACATTCATATTGCTTCGTTTTGAAACCTCTGTTATATACAGGGTGGTCCATTTAACGTGAGACAAGCGATTATCTAGAAAACGATTCATTTTACATAAAAATGAACCAAATGAAAGTTGTTCTGTGTGAAGGGGGAAACC